TTTATGTATTTTATTTTGCGTTTATATATATTGTTTTTTTTTTTTTTTACTGAAACTTTACATGTTAAAATGGACGACCTGTATTATTACTCAAAGTAGTAATTTTAGCGCTCATTACAATTTAACGCGCCACAATTCCCATGAATTATAAACGAACCCTTTTCTTCGAGACGGTCGCATCGATCCATTTTCGAGAACGAGGCACCTTGGCGGCGACCTTGCAGTCTCGGCGATGAATATATATATATAATTGGATAATGCGATTGCATCTACGGAAGGAAAATATAGAAATACATTCGGTATATTGTATCAACTTGAAAAAAGTAAATAAATCCGCGCAAACTTTGTGAACGCTTTTTTCGATTTCACGCGAAAAAAAATCGAGATGACGAATTTGAAAAACTGTTGCGAGAAACTCGCCTCGATCGCAGAGTCCGATGCTCGACGCACGTGTTACTTCGACGAAGGTACAACGTGAATTGAAAGGTGTGCGTCGCGATGCAGCTGTTACTCGAAAACACGCGCTCGGTAAACGTGGCTTTTCGCATTCCTCTCCCCGGCTCTTTCGACGATCCGAAATCGAACGCACGAGTACTAACGAATTTTCGTGGATCAATTACTGATGAACAATACACACGATGCTCCGGAACTTTTGCGCGCGTATACTTTTCCGTGTAAACAGAAATCTGTCATAATATTGACGTGTCATACAGAAATACATTCGGTATTGTACGATTGTTAATACATTTTTTTTTTTTTTTATAAAACTTTACCTATTGTATAGTTTTTGATCGTCAGTTTTTAATTTTTTTTACAGGTTTTAGTAATTCTATTAATTAATAACATCGGACATTCCGAGAAAGAATAATGAAATTCAGTCATAAGTATGTTGATTAAAAGCGTATAATGCAATATATTGAGTTTCTCTAAAACGAAATATAGCATGTTTTATATAACTTTATGACAATTACTCGTCACAAGTTCTTTATTCAATATCTTATTCTTCTGTTGTCGAAAAATTATTTCTTCTCGAATAATATTCCGCACGCGTCGAGACGAGATAAATACAAAATGTGAGATATTTCGAAAATTCTGTGTTTATATACACATACACAGTATGTCTTTATTTCTGATTTTCAACGCTAGATGGAAAAAACAATATCTACTTTCTCGATAGCGAAATTGTAAACTTAGCAGTATATAAAGGCGAAGCAAAGTAAATATGTATCCAGATACTGATGTGGAGTTACCGTCAATAAAGGCGGTACTCCCGGATATTTTTTGTCTCTTTTCTATCCGCTTATACAAAGACATCATAATTTTTGAATGGGGGGTTAGGTTAGGTTAGGTTAGCAAACCCCCCTTAAGCTAAGACAAACATAAATTGTTACCAATAAGAAGCTGCGAAAGAAGATGTTGCCGGAAAAAAGCAATCTCTGTTTTCCATGAATGCTAGAAGAAACCAGTGATCGTAAACGTTTGATAAATCGATTGATGTTTAAAAAAGTATGCAACTAATGTACTTTGTAATTGATCATTTTATACATTTTTCAAATATGTGTATGTGTGATTTGTGTATAATTTATAAAGTTATTACTGTATATCTAAATGAATTATTTACAAGTATGAATATACATATAGTCATAACTTCTCGATATTTTAGCATCGACGCGTGCGACCGATCAAGTCGTTCTAAATATAAACTTTCAACGTCCGCTGTCAATATTTCACCTTAGAAGATACGTGGAACTCGTAATGATATTCAGAGTATTAAACATTCATACGCTCTTCCTCCCTAATAAAATGGAACGCTTAATGGAGCACTTTCTCAATGACGCAGACAATGGCAGGTTAAAACGTTTATTGAAGGCCAAGAGGACTGCAAGTAGCTAGATAATCAGATGAACCGCGAGGAACCGAGCGAAGAGAGAGAAGAAAAAGAGAAGAAAGAGGAGAACTCGCGGCGAGACAATGCGAGAACGAAGCAACGACGAAACGAGGGACAAAAACATCAACGGTTATAACTGTTGTGGCTGTGACTGCGGCGAGGACGTCTGACGTCTGGCGCGGGTGAATTGCACTTGGGGGGGGGGTTACGGTCGGAAGGGACGGGGGTTACAAGGGGGATGGCGGACGTGATACTCGGAGCGAGCGGGGCGATTCCGTAGGGTGGTTCCGAGGATTTCGGCTTTTATTCGAGTCGTTTCGTCTTCCTTTCGGCGATGGATCCTGCGTCTACTGGGGGTCTGCAGCGGACAGCTCTGCAGCTAGCTCTTCACTTTGATCCGCCTTTTTCTCGGAATTTCACCACGTACGCGCAATGCCGCGTTCCGACAGATAGAATTAAACCACTGCGATTTAAGCGCACTTACGCGCTGAATCGAAAAATCGAAATTTGACAGCGCCGGTAAACGGAGCTTTTGTAAGCGTTTTCACGTGTCGAATATTTGTATAATTGGTTTTAACAATTCGCATATAAATAAAAAATGAGAGAGAAATATGAAAACGATTTTTTCTTTTACATCGCGATATTGTTACTTCAACTCTGACAAGAAAACAAAAATCTCTTTCGGTGTGATTTGTGTATTTTCAGCTTGTTGCAATATATAAATGACACAGCGCAATCGACACAATATAATCTGCGCGTTAAATAGATAATAATACGTGGATGTGCCTATACAAGTGTGTTTTTCGTATCTATTCCGAAGATACGACGCATTTTCAAGAACGTTGATGTCACAAAGCAAAGTCTAGGCGCGTATACATTCGACAAATAAACTTTACGTCGTGATGTCACCTTCATTTGTTTTTTTTTTATTACCAAGACTCTACACATTTATTTATTACGCGTAAGCATAAAGATTGAATCTTACGCTCTCTCATCATCTCACAAATGTGCGCAATATATATGACTGAAGACTTTTTATCGGATGTAAACTTTTGCTATTTTAAAACCTCACGCGATTTCTGTTGTTTTTGCAGACAAGCGACTCGTCATCCCGTCAGACGTCAATCGCGAAGACACTGGGCGATAAAAGTCGCGCTCGTGTGTTGATAAGAGACGATGTTTTCGTTGAATTAAATACGCACGCGACGAGAAAAGAATGAATGATTTTTATTTCCGCACATCGCCTGATTTTGTTATGTCTAATTTGTCTTATCGGGCGTGTGCGCACACGCGCGTAATTCAGAGAGCGAACCATATATTACAAGTTATCTCTTCTTAGAAATTATCTCCGCTCCGCGTTACGAGCAATAAAGTGACTTTCGTGTTACGTCGAATTGCGAAATAACGCGCGTGAGGTTTTACATTATACTTCGTCTCTACAGTTAAGAATAATAATTTATAATGTATCGCGATATTGTAGCTATATTTTATATAAGTTTGTTTTGAAACAATTATTCTCTTGAGTGAGAAAAGAGAGAGAGAGAGAGAACAAATTTTTACACTTATTATTGAATAAATAATATTTTGTAATATGATACAAACACTATGTAGCATAATTTATCTACATATATACGCGCGCGCGTTTTTTACCGAGACAAGAAAATCATCTTCGGACCGTATCTCTTCAAAGACGCTCTTCTGAAGCTTTACGCGTAATTTTTGCAGACGTGATCACGGTCGTCGCGCTGCTTCTCTCCGACCATCGTCGTCGTCGTTGTCGTTGGACCGATGTGTAAGCGCGGCGGCCGGCAGAAGTCGACCGAGAGATAAGATCTCTTCTCGTCGTGTCCCTTAGATTAAGGCGGCCGTAAAGGGAGGCAAACGAGAGGCGGTGTTAACTTCTTGTTTCACGGCCGAGGCACGGAAATAGTGAGTCATTCCGGCGCGCGCTGCGTCGCGCCGAGAGAGAACTTTGCCGGAGGACTACGGTTTTCACGTAATTCGCGACAAAGAGGGAGGGAGTAGGATAGTATTCATCGCGCCTCCGGGGTTTCGCGAGAGGAGGCAGGACGAGAGCCGGACAGTGGCGCGGGGTCGTAAAAAGTTTCTCGCTCGCACGAATGAGATTGGGTCGAGTGTGTGTTCACGACGACACGGCGGCGACAAGAACGACGACGACGACGACGATGACGACGACGACAACGACACCGCGTTGATTTTGTCGCGGCTGCTCGTTAAAACGCGAAAAAAGAAGAAACCGCGATGCAGAAAGATGAGAGAAAGAACGCAACACTATGTGGAAGAGGCAACGCCGGGCGCGCGCGCGTCCTTGCGAGTTATGATTATTGCCGCACGGTCGCGACTTTACAACCGGCTGTGTTACTCGTAGAAGCAATTGCATGCGCGCACCTTTGCATCCCCGGGACATCCTTTCCTTTATTCTCTTATTTTCTCTCAGTGTTATAGAAATTACCGAAGGAATTTATTGTCGAGCGCCAAAAAAAAAACACACGTTTATATTAATTTGTTAACGATCTAAAATGCTAATTTTTCATCAATGCTCTTTTGCGCACCACATATATAATGCACATCGGGGAGAGACAGCGATATATTTGTTACAGATGTTAATACATGTTTTTCACATATGTGACCTTTGTTCTCGACGCGCTTCTTCGTGCAACATTCGCGCGTCGAATTAACGCGCGCACGTCTGTGTGTTGAGCGATTTACGCGGGGAGCAATGAAAACGGCGTATGGGGTCGCAAAAGCGGAGGTATTTTGCTCTCGCGCAACAGTCGCGCGCCCCATTCACCAATCCCCCCTTTATTCTACAGGCTACTGGCATTCGTTGCTCTCTTCGTAAATCGCTCAACACACAGACTACCGAAGCGATACAATATTTCTCGTTGCCGTGTGTCGCGCCGCCGCAACGCGCCGCCGCTGCGCTGGCCGCGAATGACATCGGTCGCTTCGGTGCGATACCAATAAATACGGACTTTGCGAGAACGACGGCGGCGCGACTCGGTCTCGCTGGCGGTATCTCCGAACGGCTTAATGGCGCTGTTAACTGCCGTATTATTTAACGTGGATTTATGCATCGGAGCAGGCCGATTAAAACGCCACTGCGGTTAGCGAAGGATGGCTGCCGCGCTTGAGGGAAACGGTGAGGAGAAGAGAGGAGAGGTATGTAGGGATAAGGATGCACAGACGTTGGTCGCCGTATCTCGTGCTCTTAATCCCTCGTTATAGCTCGCTCTGATAAACAGCCGCTCCCGGTGGCGGCAAAGAGAGTTCGTCGCGCCGACGGTGAAAAATGCGGTAAACGATTACGACGACGTTACCTTCGGCGACGTGTGAACCTCGTCGTGATTCAACTTAACGCGTCGGGGAAGAGGTCCGTCTTTCTTCCTTTTGTCGCGATTGAAGCGTCCCGGTGCGTACAACACGCACCCGCCTTAAACGTCCCCTTTCTTCGGACTTATGAAAAAAGATCGCGAGAAAGTTCATGTGTCGCAAATCTACGACGTAAACGTCGCGTTCTTTGTGTTAATATTTATAAAGAGCTTTCTCTTCTTTTTTATGAAAAGAATAATTGACAAAAAATAAGCTTCTTATAGTCGTCTCGTAAATATAACAATTCGCTCTGCAACGTGAAAGATTGAGCGATGCGTAAATTTTGTATTTCCTGGAGATTGCAACCGTTGCATTCAGCGCGGAAGTGTGCGCGAGAATCGCGCTTAAGTCGGGTCGGGAGCTTTCCAGGACGAAGAAGAGAGAGAAATCCCTGGCACGCGGAGAAACGGAATAATTCTACGCGTTCGCGATGCATACGCGAGTGGCTGTCGACAAGGGTGTTGGGAGGGATAACAAGAGAGAGAGAGAGAGAGAGAAAGAGAGAGAGAGAGAGAGAGAGAGAGAGAGAGAGAGAAAAAGACAGTCGTAGGGAAAATGAGAGGGGAAAGGGAAACGCGGTGGTTGGAGCGGCGGTCTCGTACATCATCCAACGTCACGATCGCTGCCAATGGGATCTTGGATATCAGGTGATGCTATTGGGGATTTGCATCTCCTGGTCGCGCCGAATGCATGAGAGAGGCGAGGTAGCTCTCTCGTCCGTGAGCCGGTTGGCGCGACGAGAACGATGGGAAATCCGGTTGTGCATATATATATATATATATATATATGCGCGAATAAGACGAGGACGCAGACAGTGCGCATATGGGGTGCTTCGAAATTAAGCTGTGTTACATATGGGGTCGAATTCTTTAATAAATTTTCTTTGACAGATTTTCGCCGAGATAGATTCTGTGATATGTATCGAAAAAAACAAACAGAACACGCGCTCCGCGTATTTTGTTACTTTAATTGTACAAAATAATGCAATTATCAACAAGATATACGAGCAAAACAAATTTAATTCGATATTTTATAGATATTGTAAAAAGGTTAAATTTGTTATTTTCAAATGTGTGGGAGAGGTTCGCAACGAAATCTCATCGAAAGCTTGACAAAATTGATGGTGCGTGCCGAGAATTAATATGAGCGATGAGCGAGCAAAATTTTCTTTTGCTGTCAAGAGATCATCTGCAAATTTGTCACAGTAATTCACGGCGTTTGATAGGCATTTAATTCAGGACCACCCTGTAGTTCTCGCGACAAGCACGAGAAAGAGACACAAGTAGATAGCTAGATAGTGGAAACGGGAGAAACGAGGAGAAACGGAACATGGTCGATGTGTCTAGCTAGCGCAACCCGGCTGACTGGCTGGCTGGTTCGAGTAGTAGCTAGCTAGCTGGCTGGCTGGCTGGCTGGCTGGCTGGCTGGCTGGCTGGTTCGGCTGACTGGATCAACCGGGGACCGTCTAGCTCGCGTCTACCCCGCCAGCCCGGCATTATCTATACGTCTAGACACCCCTGCGCCACCGAGAGAAGACCATAGCGGTTTGGCGCTCCGCTTGTAATTTACAGCGCGCTCCGCCGTGTCTCTACACCCACGAACTCTCTCGCTCCTTCATCCCTCTCTCTTTTCCTCCCTCGCCATCATTCTCTCTCTCTCTCTCTCTTTCACTCCTGACGGCAGCTAAGATCGCGCCTCGTATGTACTTTCTCGCACTTGAGTTTTTCCGCGTGCCCTCACCGTTTCCTTCTTTCCTCTTTCCTGCCTCTCCCCATCTGACGCCCCTTCATTTTTCTGCCATCCGATACCGGCTCGAGTGACTTGGGAGATCGGAAGTTCACCGACGCTATCGTAAATCTCGCATCTAAATTGCAAGATCGGTTTTCTTATCATGTAAAACGCGAAACGCAACGAGAACGGGATAATTTAGTGACGTAGCACTCGAATTGTTATTTTAAAATACTCGTAAATTTACGACTATTTATTTGAGAAGTGTAAAATCACAGGCATTTTTAATTAAAAGCGGATAGACAAAGAGTAAGTTACTTGCCAAGTTTACCAGTTAGGAAACATGTGTCTAATTGTAAAGAAAGTTTACAAAAATTCTTCATTTCGGATAATTAAATTTTCAATGTAACGTAATGAATTTCCTTGTCGATTTAAATAACTCGCATAGGAACGTGACGACTGGCGCAAACCTCCATCCGCGATAAAATATAATACACATTTGCGACTCGCTCCCGCCCGTTGATCCATGGACGCTATGTTTGATCAGTTCCGTAACGAAAGGATTAATACGTACTGATACGCGCAAATATATCCGCAAATTGGTAGAATGCTTTGCACGTGATCTCCGTTCGGAATTTTTCCCTTCCGCCGTCAGACTTTTTTTTTATATGACTATTCTATAGCTGTGTTAAAGAGAAAGCTCTGTTAATCCCCCGGGCACTAGATAAAAACAAACTCCACTCGAAGCACGAAATATGCGTCTGCGGGGCCGAGAAGCAAAGCAAAGTTTCAAATCGATTCTCCGCTAAATAAGCGGCGCGGTAAGCGCTTTAATTTAGGATTGTCGGTATCGGCTCGCATTTCGCCGAAACAATCGTGACTCCCGCCGAACTCTGTTGTTTTTCACACGCAGTGCGTTGTTTTTTCAAGATTTTATTCGAACAGATAAATCGATACAAGGTTATCGCTATTTTGACACACAACTCGCGCTACGATGTTTTTTTTTACGGATTTAAACTAAACGAATAATACATCGCGCGAAATGAATCTCGAGCGCGCTACCAAAATACATGTTGTTTTTTTTAACTTAGCAGATTTATTTGTTCAGATTTATAATTCAAAAAACACATCTAAAAAAAAAAAAAAATAATATTCAAAAATTAAACAAAATATTCGAATATGTCACGACGAGTTTTTCATATCACATTTTATTCATTATCCAGATCTCTCTCATTCTAATTCCACGCGAGAATCTTGTCGCTTTGCATTCCTAACATCACTAAAGCGGCGAACTACTCGGATAGTAGTTATGCCAGAATGACAGGTGGATACGGCGACGAACTTTCGAATTTCGAAACGGCGGGTGAGAGACGGAATGGCGCGGGGATTTTCTCAGGAATATTGTAGATCGAGCAGCTATGCAGATTGCGACGAAGATAGATAGATAGATAAACGGGAGCAGACCGAGACACGAAGAGCGCGAAAAGACAGAGAAAGAGAGAGAGAGAGAGAGAGAGAGAGAGAGAGAGAGAGAGAGAGAGAGAGAGAGAGAAAGAGAAAGAGAGAATAGCGACAGTGATGAAGACGCAGACGATGACGTCGAAGTTAGGAGTTGAACGGGCTGACGCTTTAAGCGATGCAAGCTACAGACATTCCAAATAGCAGTGTCGAACGTAGATAGATTAATCGTAATCTGAGTACATTGCACTTTGCAGCGTCTCTCTCTCTCTCTCTCTCTCTCTCTCTTTGTCTCTCTGATACTTTCCTTTGTTCTTTAAAAATGTTTACAATAATCAGTAAATGTTCTTCTCTCCCTTATGTTCTGCACAGTTTTTTTTAATCTAATTATCGACGACCAATGCTGATAAATCTAGATTCCATATATGTATATATGTATATATATATATATTGGATAGATCTTCTGCGATTAATCTTCAATTACTTTACACGTGTTCTCTCTCTCTCAAAAAAAAAAAAAAAAAAAAAAAAAAAAACAGATTTCTCATTCGCCGTGTAATTCGCGAGAGCAATAAAAACATTTCTCGTTTCTTCCGAAGAAATCGAGAAAACTTCATTACTACTTATCATACGTCGCGATAACTATAGTAACAGGTCGAGATTATCGAACAAACCGCGCATAGTACGCTTCTTACGGTCGGCATTCATTATTGAAGATCCTGTTCGCGCGAAAACATATCCACATAATGTCTGACGAAAAACAAGACAAACCGATCATAGTGGTTGATAGATTAGTCCCCGTGAAACTCGGCAAAAGCAAAGTGATCGCCGATAATATTCGGTAATAATAACATTCGATATAAAAAAAGACAGAGTTCGCGTTTTGCGAACATACGATACATTGATGCGAGTAGTTCGTCGATTTTTTTTTTTTTTTAGTAAAGAGGTGAATTTTCTCGAGAATGCATCACGTCGATCGTGGCTGCAAAGGTACCGGTATTTGACCGGACAATTTTTCCACGAGGTAAGGACTCAAAAAATCGCGAACGTGCGCATATACGCACGCGAGTGATGCGGTATAAAAAAAAAAAGAAGAAAGAACGCGCAAACCGCAGACGAATTTTAAATGTGTGTTTTTTGCGGGTGTCACTGACCGTAGGTGTTGGCGGAGGAATGCAGAAAAGCGGGACTTCCGGTGGACACTTTTGAGCGTGACTTGCCGGAAGACGCGGCCGAACGTTCGCCAATTCCTTTGAAACCCTCGCCGACATTCCCGAGAACTACGTCCGCCGAGATCGGCCATCGATCCTCCCGCGCGGAATACAGTCTGGAATTCGCGGGTCGTTTGTACGTCTCGCCAAAGTGGACGATTGAACCCCCCACGGACACTCCGGAATTGCGCGCGACGCAACAGAAATTTCTCTTTCTGGGTTGAAGTCTCTGGGTGATACAAAAAATGGAAAAATATAATAGAGATAAAAAAAAAAAAAAAATGATGCGCGCGTCACATCAGTATCGATGTAGATATTCGTGTGTCGTCGATAGTGTAAATAAATCAGATTTAATAAACGATTTTTATAGACACGTGTTATGTTATTATAAAAATGGCAAGTGTTCTCTACAACATGATGTTCGTCCCGTTCTGTCTATCAATCGCCATTTTTATATTTAGACACATAATTCTTAATGGTCGCCTTATATTTTATTGACTTTTACCTATCAAAGAAATAACAGTGCTTATGTGTATCGATAGCGATAGATCTTATTGTGTATATTTCGCGTAACAAGGCGACGCTGTGTATAGTTGCATATTGACATAATTGAGTGATCCTACTCGAGATAACGTTAATTCGGGGAGAAATTAATTATGTTACAATAAATAATGAATTATTACACGCACGCAATTAATTGCGTGCCAATTATCTATCATCGATATGCAGTTGTCAATAATTGAGTTGTTAATAATTTACCTTTTGTATCTTCGACGCACTTGGCTGAGAAAATAATACAAGATGTGCGATGATTTGAATCGATAGATCAGAGCGGTGGATGATCACAAATATTGTAAACACTGACACTACACACATTATCGTGGTTTACGATAAACCAACGCAATTTCGCAAAGAAAAACATTGACGACACATAGTTTTATCCGCGGAATTTACTTTCGGATAGTGACAATATTGCGAAAAATAATGTGAACAAATTCAAAGCGACTCCGCAGTCGCTGCGACGCGTGCATAACTAAAATGGCTGCCGCAAGTCACTGATACGTCAGAATCGCATTATCGAAGAAAGCGATATATATCGATATTGCGATATATCGGAGTATCGAGAAACTGTTGTGACTATAGCGGCGTCCACAATCCATTTTATCTAAAATTAACATTAAAAATTACTTTATCGAACAAATACAAAAAGTAAAAAAATCGATGTTATCGATTATTAATCCGCTTAATTATTATCGACAAACATATTTATACATAAATATACTTTTAACGATTGTCAATTTATTGCACTTTTTACGCAGTTTTTATGAGAAGAAATATAACTGAAAATATGGCACAAATTCCATCGATTGTAGAAAGTCTATTTTACAACTAGAACATTATTTACAAGAGAAACTCGCACAATAAATATTACAATATTATAAAGACCACGGATTTTAAAATTAAAATTATCGTTGTATGCTAGAAGTATGAAGAACACTAATAGAAATAATTATTTAAATGTATAAATAAATCTAGAAAATATAGAAATAAGTTTAGAAAAAAGTATAAAATCTAGAATAAAGTATAAAAATTTATTTATTTTTTCATTACTTTTACTAGTATCTCGTGTTTGCAATTATATATACATAATATTTATATACCAAAGACCTTTTGCTTTAGCGTCGGTGGCAATTTCTCCGACAATGAGGTTGGATTCACCTCAATTGCAACCAACTCCTCGTTATTCAACCAATTCAAATAGACAAGATGCTGCAAATAATAAATTCATATTTCGTCATTTTTATCAGTAATTGCTTAAAAAGAAATGTGTTTAAATCGACAATTTTACCTTGTACTTCTTGACAATTTGAAATGCGAACTGAGATTGTGAGCTTGAAAGTGAGTTGCTGTCTTCTGTAACTTCTCCATTTTCACGTTTCGGAATCTTTGCTTCCTTTTCTGGCACTTCGCCGGTTTTGTTGATAACGTATATACTTGAATCGTCTTGCATGATTATAATGTTTTCATTACTAGGATCGAATAAGATGTTTGTTACCGGGAACGGACGTGCCCACCATTGTTTCGGCAGCCGACTTAGGAAATTCTTGGAAAATTCTGTGTACTGTCTATTTGGTATGTTATATTCGACAATCTGGAAAAAAAATCAATCTTTTTTAAATTATTTATATTAATTTGCTGTTTTTAATTATCTCAATTTACAGAACCTATGTTTATTCGTTTACTATTATGTGCATATGTGTGTGTGTCTTATAAGTTTATCTTACTTAGATAACTGAAGGCTTCATAAAGTCCATATGAACGGATAACTCAAAATAACGGGCTTATAGAAGCAATTACGTCTAATATCACGATATAAAAATAAAGTCGTAAGAATACGGTTGTACAGATTCATTACGAATTTTTACTGCCGCAGGTCATTAATGTACTTTATGACGACATATTATATTTTTACCGGTTATTATGTTAATGCTTGTGTATAACGTACGGAAGAGCTACGTATTACGCAATTTAAAATCACATATAGCACGTCATTCGTTTACCTTATGATCGGAATACACTATGACGAGATTTAGCGTGTCCTTTTGCACGGCCATAGCTGTCGGCGGACAACTGTATTTGGGTAATTTCCATGCTTTGATCGATTCCGGTGTGATACCTTCTCCAATAAAATACGTAGCAATTATGGACTCCCGATCCGCGAGTACAAGATATCTGTTGTCTGGAGAGAAACACACGAGACTGACGTTTCTGATGGATTCTTTTGTCGTCTGGAACGAGCCGATCAAGTTCAAACTCAATTTGTAGACCTTGAACAGCGTCACAGTGTTCTCTTTTCCGTCGTTGTTGATAGTGGCGAATAACTTGCCGTTTGTGCTGAACAGCATCTTCTGTATTCGGTTCATGGATAAATCGGTATCGTTTCTGAGCGTCAGTTGAGCGTCTCCTTCTACCACATCAAAATTAAAGACTCTAATGTGAGTGTCAGTTGAGTACGCGATTGTTTTGGAGTTCTTGTTGATTGCGTAGGAGATGATGCTTTCGTCACCCTTCGTCTTTAACTGAAGTAATTTTATGGGTTCTTCATCCAACTGATGCAGCATAGAATTGCCTATTAATTCTGGAGGATCTTTCGTGATTGTACCGAGTCTCCACAATTCCAGATAATTGGTGTACCGTAACAATATACATCGAGATTTTGGACAAATTGTGGCGTAAGGCGATTGAAGTAACGGAGGATATTTTACTAGATTTTTGGGTGGATAAGACGATACCGCTAGATATCCGTCTACTCCAGCTGAATAAAGCTTTCCGTTCGCTTCCACCAGAGCTCTGACATCATGAATATGCAATCTTCTTTCGATTCCTTTTACCCATTGCGACTTACCGCTTGATTTTAGAACTACCTTGCTGAAACTTCTTACAACCGGGTCCACACCCGCACAATACACCATATTCTTTTCATATGACAAGGTAACGGATAATATATCGGCTGTATGACTCTCATGGGATTCGATCAGTACTCCCATATGTGGATCCCAGAAGCACAGAAACCCCTGAGAGTCGCCAGATATGATTACATTGTCATCGGTGACAGCAAGGCACCAAATTATCGTGGCTTTTCTAACTTTAGTTCTTGTAGTAACCATTTTATGTATTGCGTGTCCAGATACAACATTCCATACTCTGATAGTATCTGGGGAACCGGTATAAATCATTTCGCCTGTATTATCCCATTTAATACACAAAATTCTTCCAATTTGTTTGTCAAATATTCTATTGTGAATTAATTTATCTTGTTGCACAGAAAAAATGTTAATATATCCATCTTCTGTGCCCACAGCCAAATACGTGTTCTCATGATTTACATCCATGCACCAGGCTGCACCTCCTATTACAGTGATTTCATACTTGATTCCTAATGTTGTTAAATCATACTCTACCACAGCACCATCGAGACCAGTCGAAAACAGTCTGGTACCGATCCAGAGTATGCTTTCCACCGAGTTTTCGGCGTGACCAGCGATAGTGCACTCAACAAACGGAGCACATCTGACGTTCCAGATTTCAATAGTATTGTCGCTTCTATAAAACAAAGAAAGATTAAATAAGTCATGTATAAAACGTATTATTACAATAAATAACTTTGTTGCAAGTTTATTATATAATACTAAAAAAATGCATCGTGACAAGTTCTTGAAACTAACCTCGCAAGAGCCAATTTTTCCGTTTTCGGTTCATGACTTAAACAAGTCACGGATTTTGGTTCAAGATTATAAAATCTGATATTGTGTATGCGATACGGAGCCATAGGTTAGATTTTTCTTATGTCTGTATTATTAAATACATGTAATTGCAAACAATTACAAATATATGTAATTTTATGTAAATCTTACCATGTGTAAAAGAGTACATAACTAGGTTTGGTTTGGTGCATATATGGCTCAAAGGACCGTTTCAAGCTAGTCCATACGCCATTCTAAGTCTTTAAAAATCGTGACACAGGTCCTAAACCGTGGTTTGGGTACAAGCCACGGAGTTGTACGTTCGTTAAAATTAATGATAAACCGAAAAAGTCGGTGTAAAAACACCGAGAATTGTCCAAAAATATCTAAGCGTAACTACGCACATCCAACCGGTATGGCTGATGCAACACTTCTTTTCTCTATATATAACACTACTGTGTGCACTGCCCACAGACTTCGGAGTACATAACTATACACAAGCAACATAACCAAAACTCACACACGTGACAAAAGCGGCGTTTTGTTGAAAATCGTAAGCCTAGCACACAAGAAAGAACTTATTTCTGATTGGTTGATCTTTTTATTACTTAAATATGTGTTCCTGGCTTTAGCGTATAACGTGAACTATAGATTTTCAATAATGCACAGGTTTTGGAATGTCAAAATGCAAGTTTTCTCTCTAAATTAGAACATTTGTATTATAGTTTATTGAACTTTAATTGTTAAATTTCAATATATACACTTAAGTTGTAACATAACTGCTTAATAACAGTCTATAAGCTATAATATCCGTCACTATAAAAAAATACTTGAATGTTTACAGCAATTAAACAATTTTTTATATATATAATCTAATATCGCTTTTATAGTTACTCCAATTTTTTACACAATATCGCACTTACTTAAAAAAAAAACTTTTTCTTCTGTTAAGTGATAAATTTTATTGCATTTAATTTTTTTCTTCTTTTTTACAATTTAAAATTCAAAAACTAAGAGTTCTAACTTAGAACTATAGAAAATTAGACGGAGACAAAAGAGTTCGATCGTTTTAGAAATTTTGAGGCATCGGAGTTGGCGGTATTGCGCGCGATACACTCGTTGTGAAATTTTTCCGCTTTCGCGATTATCATCAGAGATGTTGTTTCTCGAAATGTAGAACGAGAAAGGATCAGTCAAGAATTTTCAACGCATATGAAAAATAGGTCACGCAGCGTGGGCGAATAAAAAATAAAATATAACGCGCAAGCGCTACAACAACGCCTTAGGTCGGTCTACTAACTTCAAGTCGGTCTACTTCATATCGCTCGGATTCAGCGGCGTACTTCGGTTGAAACGCCGGCGCGTGGTTATCGAATGTTCCACGCAAAGTGTATATATAGTGTGGTACAGTACGTGTGATTGCGTCGTCCGGATTAATGTTCAAGTAAACACCAGCGAACACGGTTGGTCGTCTTATTGCGCTGTGCGTGCATCAACTTCCGCAAAAAAAAAACCAAAACATCTTCGAGTAACGAGGTAAACACACATCCGCATCGCAAATATTCGGAGAGCCGCACACGGACACAAACACGATTATCGATTGCGACTATTTCAAGAGTGCACACAGCAGTGACGCATCAAGATTGACGTGTGATATTTGTTTTCGCGTTCGGTATAAGATGTACAATCATTTCTTCGTTTTCGCGTTCGATGTTTACCCATCTTCGCAAACTGCGAATATGCTGCTTATTGTTTCAACACGCGGAAAGTAGAGCAACGCGGTAATAAGAGACTTTCGTGACGTCTTCGTGCACTTGACATCGCGTGCAATTTACGGAGACCACTAGAAAGCGCCATTGCCGCGGACTATATAATCACGATAGATTTTTCTCCGGTTCGATAATATACGAGCGCGGGGCTCTAACACGATCGAAGTTGATTTTGAAGGACAGTGCACACGGAGAATTGTGCACATCGAGAAACATTCGAATAATATTTGAATATTCATATTTCCCGGTGCGTACTTCGTCTTTTTTATATTTTGCGCGGAATGACATTATCGCGTTTTGTTGGAAAAACTCGAAACTTTATCTCTTATTGATTCAACCAAATTATATGTATGTGTCACATGTATGTTTTTACAAGTTTATCCAAGATAAAAAAAATGTATATGTGTAAGAGTCGTGTTAAGTATGACGTGTGTATATACACAAACCACACACATACGCGACATATTTGCATTAGATTTTTCCGGGAAAACTTCCTACAATCATGTACTGTCATTTAATCTCTCGCACAAACACATACAGACGTGATTATCACGCAATATCGCGTAATGAAAAATTCGTTATCGTGACAAAACTGCGAGTATCGAAAAGAAATATTTGGTAATTAGTGCACATCTTGTTCCGCCTCGCTGCGTACTATCGTCGAATTTTCGCGGATATTTCCGTCTTTGCTTGCATCATCGTTTACAAAACTACTGCGTGCTCCAAAATTGTGATACTCGAGTCATGCAATATAATACATGTTTATTGTTATAATACAGAATGGTTGTTTTTTGTTTTTAATAGATAGCGCGTGTGAGATAAGAATGCATTCGTGTGTAATAGCAACACATTGTACACAAAACTACACAATGTATTCTATACGTAATTACATGTGTGAATAATACGTGCTTGATACTAAAAAAACAGGACCTTTACGTAAACTAATGCTTTTTCAAACTAATTTTTATAATAGTTTAAATCTTTCTGAATAAAATAATCTGGATTATCTATTACAATTTATAAGCGTTTTAGTCAGATAGCTGGAAGAGTTCTATCTCTTATTGCTTATCTATTTAACATTAATAAAAGCATGAATCAGAGACCTTAGTGGAATGTATATGTATATATAAGTTTTTCCAGGTGTTTGCCCATGACTTTATGAACAAACGCATGAGACGTTATTTATGTCTTTATATGTATATATATATATATACTTCCTTAATTTGTATAAATTGCTATATCGTTACATAACTCTTTAACATATTTTATATGTCTGTCTGTATCTTGTTCTCATTGCATCTATATGTTTAAACATCTATTTACAAGAACTTTAACGATCAGAAAAATGAATTATGTACACATATTACTTTTCAAAAAATTATAAAAAAGAGAAACATATTTTTTAACATAGTTGTACACTTATTATTACAACGTGTGTCAACGTGTATTATTTAAAAGTTTCTTCTTTTATTAACAATTACACTATATATACAAATGCAATGTAACTCTGAGATGTAATATCTGCAGTAATTGTATATGTATTAAAAAGTTGCTGATTTAATTGTGAATTGCAGTTCTCTTAAATGTTTTTTTCCCTAATAGAAGCCTAGTTTATAATAATAGGTTCTTTTTCAGCTAAAAACCAAAAGATGACAACTTGGCAAGCACCTGGTGCGGGGTTCTATCCAGGGCAACAAGGTTCTGATCTATTTCTTTCCGTTTTTAATATCTTTCTTTACTTTATATTTTTTCCATTTTTTAATTATTTTATTGTTATATTCAAAGTTCACTTCAGCAGATTATTCAGTCAGCAACTATTGTCATATCGCTGGCATAAACACATATATACATTAAATACATTATTTCACACTTTCGATCATTATTTATGTATATATGATGACTTTTATTGCCATTAGAAAAATAAAACCCATTAAGATAAGTTAATATATATTCAGATATCAATTTTAGTTGTGTGGTGAAGAAGGTATGATTAAGAAATGCCATTAATAAGATAGACTCGTATATTTCAATACACTCACGCAATACATATCGCAACAAGCTGTATCAAGTGTAATTAACATATTCAAGATGCCAATTTTATTGCACAGTCATGGTAAAATTTAATTTTACAGAAACATAAAACACTCATTATATACGTACTTAGTTGGCTGCTGTTAGTGCACAGAGTTCTACAAGATGCTTATGATCCAGGTCGCATATACAATGTGTTGTAATGTTGATATCTATGTTTCCCAATTTTGACTGTGCAGGTCCGTATCCCCAGCAGAATCCCGGATATCCGCCACCAGAAGGTTATCCATATCCTCAAGGTCCTCCGGGATATCCTCCACCATATCCTGGTGCAAATCCACCAGGTATGTATATGTATATATAACTCACACTAATACTTTAAGAATTAAAAAACTGTTATAGCTGTTTATTCATGTATTATTCATTCGCATGTGAATAGGTCCAGGATTTATACCTCCAGGTGCTCCACCATACGGAGAAGCGCCACCACCAGTCAATCCAGAATACGGTGGAATACCACCAACAGGTCATCCAGGAATGTACGGGACGGGTTACGGGGAAGATCCTTTGCAGGATGAGGTCAAAGGTTTCGAATTCAACGATAAAACTATTAGGAATGGCTTCATTCGGTGAATATCATGGCCCTTTAAATTTAGTATTGTCTTTACGTGATAAATACATATACAAGACGGACATAAATGTATATTCTTCTTTTATAGGAAAGTGTATAGCATCTTGATGTGTCAGTTGGTTATCACACTTGGAATGATTAGTTTGTTCCTCTATCATGAACCTACAAAAAAATGGGTCAGAGGCCACACAGAATTGTTCTGGGTTGCCTTCGCCGTAACTATCGTTTTGCTTATATGCATGACCTGCTGCACCAACGTCAGACGTAAATCCCCGATGAATTTCATATTCTTGTTCATATTCACATTCGCGGAGGCTTTCTTGCTAGCTACAGCTGCATCGACTTACGACTCACAGGAAGTAAGTCATCTGAGAATTCTCTGAATTTTAATTTCGAGTATTGCAATGTATAAGTGCTGCATTACATTGTATATTTTTTTACTTTTATAAAAAATCTTCATGTACCTATCTATATAAAAATATTTTTGCAGGTCATGCTAGCTGTTGGAATTACGGCAGCGGTCTGTCTAGGATTGACCATTTTTGCATTTCAGACGAAGATCGATTTTACCGGACTTCACAGCTTTCTATTTGTTGCTACACTTATTTTACTTCTTTTCGGCCTGATCGCAATGTTCTGGCACGGCAAAATTATAACGCTGGTTTATGCTGCGCTTGGTGCACTAGTGTTTTCTGTATATCTAATTTATGACACGCAAATGATGATTGGCGGCAAGCACAAGTATTCCATCTCTCCAGAGGAATACATTTTTGCCGCGTTGAGTCTATACTTAGATGTTATCAATATTTTCATTTACATCTTAACTATTATTGGCGCTTCGCGAGATTAATTTCTGTCAATTCGAATATTTGACTTTTGTCCTAACGAAACAACCACTACAAAGTACACAGCCAGCTTTTACTTATTGCCGTCCTGCTCTGACTCTCTGTAGAATTGTCACACTGAGAGCGCAATGTAGGCGAGCAAACAATAAAAAGCATTGGTAATACTTCAATTTTTACGAAGGAATGTAACTTTTACAAATTTTCAAACATACTTATGTACGCAAACACAAACCTGGATGCGAAGTCTCTTTTTATCTTTAAATGAATATAAATCCGTATATATAATTAATAGAATACAGCTTAATAGCATACCTATATATTGTTATATTATTTGTATTATAAAAATATCATATTTATATAGTTTTACTGTTATTTTGATTAATATACGTATTTGTGTCACTTAAGATTGTTTTTTTCTTTGAAAAAAATAAGCAATTTGGTATCTTCTATTTTGTATTTCTTTGAAAAGACTCCAATATTAATGTGATTGATAAATGTATTAAAATGTGTCTAATTAAATATAAAGTTAGTATAATTAACGTAATGGTCATAAATATATATGTCAATATATAACACTCAACAATCTAGTTTATAGTATATTATATGACTGAAATCCCAGACAATCTTCAAAGATGCTTTGGATTGTCCATATAATGTGTTTAGCAACTTGAGATTGTATTCCTCTTCGTTCATGTTTGAATAATAAAATGTAATTTATCCTCTCTACTCCCTTCATATAATTTTCTCTTTTTCCGAATCTGAATAGTAATAAAAAAAAAAGAAAAAAAAAATATATATATACATAAAATTGTTTTCCCAGCTTTGTTCTCTCAATCTATATATGTACGTGCGATATGATATGTATGTGTGTATATCGTCTAGGAAACATAAGAAAACCAGTTTTTTTCGAAATTGTGAATATTTATATTTATAGTAAATCGGCCGTACACAAAACGGTAGAAGCTTTTAGTTTTAAGCTTTCTCACCTTAACTTAACGTACAAATACATAAGCATGTGTGGTGCGATTATCCACATAGGAAAGCGTTCAATATCCAAAAAGATTATAAAGATCAAAAGCTGACACTCATACTCACATCACTCAACATTGGTAACAAATTGCAGCCTCATAACAAACAATACGTCCTAGTTGTTTTGTTTTTTTTGTTCGTACAACAATGCGATCTTATTTTCATGTAGAAACATGAGGATTCATCCAGTGAAACTTATCTATTTATGTAACTTATATAAATAAAATTATACAAATTTATATAAGTTACATAATTGTATAAATTACATAGGTTTATGTAAATGTTTGCATTATGAACTACTGAAACTTTAGTTTGTCTATATGTTTGTTATAGATACACATGTATGAATTAGGAGTTGTAAGTTTATAAACACAATGACATTGCAATTGTTTTATGCGAGAGAAACTATTGAGAAACTTAATTTTTAGCTATCAAGAATCCGTTGTTTTTGGGATCTTTTGAATGTCTTTCTATGGAGCCCGATCTTTCGATTGAAGCATAGAAAATTTGTATTTTTTTATCAAAACAAAAAAGTGAGATTGAGTTACATCTGATCAGGCAGTGTCGTGAAGTGTTTATATTATGCTTTAAATTATGCACTAAGATCTATCGAGGACTCTATCCCAAGTGGCACGAGCTGATATATGTATAGTTCGTTTTATGCGCCGTTAAAATAAATAATATATAAAATTAGCAGCACCGATTCGAACTTCTTTCTACCCTTCGATCAACTGTCACTCTGTCGGGCGCATCTTGTGGTTCCTTGCCGTGCGTTTTGTCCAATATTGCTTCAGCTAGCTCGCTAAATGCTCGATCAATATTAATATTTGCTTTTGCAGATGTTTCCATAAATCTAATGCCATGTTCTCTCGCTATCTACAGATAAGAAACAAAATCTTGTTTACAAAAATATGTATCTTTGTACGTGTGTGACAAATTTATTTTTTATATGCTGAAAAATTTTTAAATGCTTGTATAACATAGTTGAATACTTACTGCCTCTCCCTTTTCTGTGCTAACAACACGTTTCTCCTCCATATCACTTTTATTTCCTAATATCATTTTTTCCACATCTTCATTTGCATGCTAGAAAAATATTCACAGAAAAAAAAAAACTAAGTAATATATATAAACTTGTATAAATTTACATGTAAGTATTATACATACTTCATCGATATTTCTCAACCATTTTACAATATTCTCAAATGTCTTTTCATTAGTAATATCATAAACAAGCATAATTCCCATAGCACCTCTGTAATATGATGTTGTAATAGTGTGAAATCTTTCTTGCCCAGCTGTATCCCTACAAATATAAAAATGATATAACATTAAAAATGCAAAGTTAAAATTTAATAATTATATGTGCCCATCTGCCACTTACCATATCTGTAATTTGATTTTCTTGCCTCTCAATTCCACTGTCTTGATTTTGAAATCAATACCTGAGAAAACAGTTCGCGTTTTTTTTATTAACAAAAGAAAAATCATTTTGTCAAACTTACAACAAACTGTATATAATTGTTGTTACTTTGCAATAATAAAAAGATACAGTATTAATTTGTATACATTTCATTTTTTTACTTTTTGAATTATAAGCCCATGAATACGTCACATATACCTTATGTACATATTATTTTCATAAAATAAGAGCTCATAAAATATCTGCAGCATGTATTAAATGCATATATTCATCGAAGACAAAGCAATTACGAACAGGTGAAACCTCGCAAAAGCAAAGTACAACGATTATTTCTTTCCCGAGAAAACACGATCGTAATTGCATCCTGGTCGACGTATACGTGTGTGTGTGTGTGTGTATTGTACGTGTGTGCGTCCGCACGCGCGTTCCGTGTCCATGAACTTTTGCACACGGAAACGATCGGCGACGCGCGATCGGCTTGTATTGAATAGAACTTTATAGAACACGAAGCGGACGTTTTTCTTTCATCGACGAGAAAATGTCGCGATGTTTCTAACCTAATTGTCGAGAAGAAAACGCAAGCTTGTAATCGTCATTAAAACAGTGATTCCCGGTATTTCCGTCTTCTTCTATATCTGTCTCTCTCTCTCTCTCTCTCTTTCTCACCTATCGTAGAAATAAACGTGGTGGAGAAGGCATCGTCCGAAAAACGGAACAATATACAGGTTTTGCCGACACCGGAGTCGCCGATGAGCAACAGCTTGAACAGCAGGTCGTACGTCTTCTTCGCCATTTCACCGCCGAGGCTTGTTCGTGTACACGAGAGATAGGCGCCGTCAAAGAAGTAAACAAGTATGAGGACGTGCGCGCGGACAAGTACTTGCAGTAATCCCGCGTTGGTTGACTCGTCACGATCGGTAGGAGCAGCAGCAGCAGCGGCGGCGGCGACGACGATTCTCCGCGACGCGCCGATGCTCCGTACATGAACGTTACGGCACCGGTTATAGTCGGCTCAAGGTCGAACGAGGGCGCGTCTCCCGACGAGCTGCGATGTATGTATTGTACCGGGTGAACCGGTCGCGGAGAGGCGGTGGACTATTAAAAGACGGCGCGACGTCACGCGACGGCCAAGTCAACACGACGCAGAAGCCATCGGGAGGTAAAAACGTGGGGTAACTTTTATTATAACTCGCTCGCGCGCTCGCTCTCTTCTTTACGTGTGTGTTTCACTATGTTACACCGCACTCGTGTAGGCCGCGAACCAGCGAGATCGAACGGCTGAGTCGTGTTACCGGCTGAATGAGTGCGCGATTCGCCGCGGCGCGACGCGATACAAAACGCGATGTAAAACGCGGCGCCGCGCGTCACACGCGACGTCGTCGACGCGGTGGAGTCTCCACCGTGGAGATTCGTGGAGGCCGTATCTGAAACTGCGCCGATAACTTCCTCCTCGCCCGATATCGCGGTGGCATACCGCGATAAAGGATCGCTTATCTTTATCAAAAGTTCTCACACATATTTTACATTTTTCGTGAGGAAAAGAATATTGATATACATAATTTTTATATATTTTTATATGATATTACTTTTTTCACATTTTTTATCCTTAAAATTTGATATCTAGCAATATTTTATCGCACGACAAGTTGTTATATGTTTAACAGAAAATAATACTATTTCATTTGTGAAAATATGTTAAGATTTGAAAATTTGGCAAATATATAAAAATATATTTGTAATATTAATTTTTTTTATTTTATATTAAAATATCGTTGCATGAGCATGTAATACACAAGAGTTGTGATTATTTAATTTCTAATTTCTATCAATATGACACCCTGATGAAGTAATGATCGAAATACAATCGCAACACGTGCATTAGTCTGATAAGACACATCTTTACACAAGTGAAAGCTGACGCACGCGTTTCTTTTTTTTTCCAGAGTGTCTTGACATTTGAAACATACATTCCGCCTGTTGACTTTCAACAAAGACACACGTGCTAAAGATAGACGACTTAGATGTGTGCGTCAGTCACGTAGGCAGAAAGTTCTCCTTCCACTATTGTTGATGATATTGCTCGTCTATAATGACATATCAATTTTTTAACATGTTCGTAAGTATGTATGTATTTTGAAGGGGAGTAGAAATGGAAAATTTTGATCAGATATAAACAAGAATACGTATAAATAAAAAACAAACTTGGCAACCAGAAAGAGAGAAAAAATTAATACTTTTTTTTTAAGCAAAAAAAAACTAAATAAGATTTAAAGAATAATATGCGTTAAATGTCAGAACTAAAACACATGTTCTCAGAAAAATTTCACACACACAATAGCGTAAGCAACTGTATGAATTTATAATCCCTAACGGGACTCTTGACGAGTCGATGTCGATTAAAAATTGGCCCATGTTACCGATATGATACGATCGATATTCCACGAGATTCTCAATTTACGCGTAGTATTTCATTCTCTACATGCATTTTACTCCTTCATTTCCCAAAGTTAAACGATGTAAAAAACAAAAACAAAAAAAACTAATACACAAAAATTTATTAAATAACTCAATGTACCAAAAAAAACTAATTTTAACAATTACAAAGAAAAACATGTAGTCATGATTGTAGTAAAATAATTTGATCGGTGCATCCGGAAAGAAAGACAGAGTACAAAAATTTTTTGTACTCTGACAGATGATCAAGAAAATGTCTCGCGTGTTTAAAGCACGCATCTTTAATGACTACGCAAAGGTATAGTCACGTGGTCGGCTATACGTATATATTGACATATCCGTACGTACGTACACATACATATACAGAAGTAGTAAGAACCGTCGGCCGAAAGGTGGGGCTTTTCCCACGCTTCGAGAACACTGACCGCGTGGCTCGCACTCGCACTCGACTGCATTCGAGACGCTACTGTGCTCAAGTGTGCGTCGTGCGGGCATGAACGGTACGTATGCGCTTCGGTGATTTTAGTACGGCGTAGAAGCGAATTATTTCTGACGTGCGCGTCGTCAGTTAGTGACAGTTTGAATCAGCGAAATCGCACCTGAGTATGGCAGCTAAGATGCAGCATCCGTTCGAACCGCCTAGCTCGGCAAGCTCGGAAAGGTAAGCGCAAAAAAATCGTTTTGATTCACTAGTACGATTTTTATTTAAAGCGCGCGTTGAACACAAAAAAAAAAAAAAAACAATTACGTATCTTATATACGCGCAAGTTTTTGGCGGTTTTAGCGACGATGGCGATGTGTGTCTGGACGACCGCGAGATTTTTCTCGCCGACGAGCTGTGCGAAGATGCCGAGCATTACAAATGTTCCGACGTCGGTACGCCGACGCCGCAGTCTCCGAGGCCACCGTCCACAGGTAATCCGTTTATTGTTAAATCTTGTACGGCTTCGAAGACTCGTTTTCACAATTCCGAAGAGCGACTATATCTTTCCGATATTTAATTATATTCAATTCTACATGTAAAGTAGCATTTGTTTTTTAACTTGTTGTAAAAATTTAAAGATAAGATTATATCGATGTATGTAGATGATGTTATTTCATGTAACATTCTACAAATAAATATTGATCAATAAATGAAGAAGAAAAAGAAGGTATATTATATAATTACAAAAGGTTCACAAAAATCTCCACGATCACGAAGACAGCGTACCACCAGCATGTCCCAATCAAGCAAGAAAACATCCGCAGAATCCATCCTCAGGAGCAAGACTCGAACCATTTACACAGCTGGTAGACCTCCCTGGTACAATTCAGCTGGTCAGCAAGTAGAACCTTTCGTAATTGGTCAGTAATAGCTCTGTTGTTAAGTTTTTATCAAAAAGACATTAAAAATAGTTTGGTATATTGCAAAGTTTTATGTAATTTACAAAAAAAAAAAAATATACTTAAACATTGAAGAACGATATTACTACAAAAGAACATATTTGCAACAGGTATTTGTGGAGGCAGTGCTTCGGGAAAAACAACAGTTGCAACTAAAATCATAGAATCTCTAGATGTACCATGGGTGACTCTTCTAAGCATGGATTCTTTTTATAAAGTACGTTAATTTCATCGATAAATTGTTTAATAAAAGTGTGTTTTCTCTCGTACGCTTGTATCACATTGATATGATGAAGAATATCTCTTCTGTAAACACGAATAATTTAACTTACAGGTGTTAAACGAGAAGCAACACGAGATGGCTGCTTGTAATGAGTATAATTTTGATCATCCTGACGCCTTTGATTTCGAACTTCTCAAGATCACGTTGCAACGTTTGAAAGAAGGACGAATGGTAGAAGTTCCTATTTACAATTTTGTGACACATCGCAGAGAAAGCAGAACGGTGAGTTAGCGTTGCGATGAAAATGAACGCAAGATTTGTACAATTTTTTTCTCCTTTTTTTCGAAAGAAAACCATGTATGGCGCCAATGTCATTATCTTTGAGGGAATACTTACCTTCTACAATGTCGACGTGTTGAAGGTGAGCTGAAAGTTAAATCAACTCGATTGTTCTCTTGTGTTTTATCATTAAAAACTTATGTGTTTATAAAGTCAATGTTTTATCAAGATGTGTGACATGAAAGTGTTCGTCGATACCGATGCGGACGTTAGGCTGGCTAGACGTTTACGGAGAGACATATCGCAAAGGGGCAGAGATTTAGAGGGCGTACTGAAACAGTACAGTCAGCACGTGCAGCCGGCTTTCTATTATTACATTGCGCCTCTTATGGTTCATGCGGATATTATCGTGCCGCGCGGTGGAGATAACGAAGTGGCAATAGAACTTATTGTGCAACATGTTCACACTCAACTTCAGCTGGTAAATCGTCACAGCTTCTATTTGCTAGTTAAATATAATAGAATTATTATCGAAACGCGATCGATTTATTTCGCTTTTAGAGAGGCTTCAAGTTAAGAGAAAAACTGGCTCACTCTTCCATTGGTCAGCCACTGCCTTCGTCATTGTACTTACTTCCCGATACTCCACAGATAAAGGGCCTGCACACATTTATACGCAACAAGGATACTTACAGAGATGAATTTATTTTTTACTCCAAAAGATTGATCCGTCTAGTCATTGAATATGCTTTGTCTCTTCTACCGTTTGAAGCAAGTATAATACATCATATAATTTATATAATAAGTAACATGTAACATAAATTATAAAAATCGCTGTTCTAAAAGAAAGTTTCGTGATCAAACATTAGACAATATACCGTTTTTTGTGTGTAGAAAGTAACAGTTGAAACGCCGCAAGGAGTTTTGTACAACGGTAAACGGGGTGCAACGGATAAAATATGTGGCGTGTCGATTTTACGGGCTGGTGAAACCATGGAGCAGGCTGTTCGAGATGTGTGTAAGGACATACGCATAGGAAAAATTCTTATCCAAACCAATCAACAGACTGGGGAACCCGAAGTAAGAACTCGTACTTTTGTGTTTGTTGCGATCATAAGTGGAAATCGATAATTTGCGCATTTCTTTTTTTGTGCATAGCTGTATTATCTTCGATTACCAAAGGATATAAAAGATTATAAAGTAATATTGATGGACGCCACCGTTGCGACCGGCGCAGCCGCTATTATGGCGATCAGGGTTCTTCTCGATCACGACGTTGCTGAGGAAAACGTGTTGCTGGTGTCGCTATTAATGGCGGAATCTGGCGTGCACTCGATCGCGTACGCTTTTCCGCGAGTGAAAATTGTCACTTCCGCGGTAGATCCCGAGATAAACGAGAAATTTTACGTATTACCTGGCATCGGCAATTTTGGTGATAGATACTTCGGCACCGAGCCGTCTGATGATTGAGGCAGCTCATCAATATATTATCTATTAGTACTTATATTTATAATATTATTACACACAATATTGTGTCCATTGTGATATGAAAAATGATAAAAATATATCTATTGTATCTTTAATAAAAATTGAATTACATTGACATTTTTATCACAGAATTTTATTTTACAGAATTTCTTGATTTCGAAATTCAAGGTCTGCTATTATATTGTTATTTTCATATACAATATTTGCTATTCTCTGAATGTCAACGTGTGGTGACGGCTCAAAGAGGCGTCGTGCCAACATCGCCGGTTTCCGCAACATCGGCGGCGGTCCCACGTAACTGTCTATAACCTCGTGAGCTAGCTCGAAGCGATCGTCTCCACGTATCCAAATTATTACCACCAGTGGAATTACTTGGCTGGCTCAAAAGGTACGTCATTAGTCTGTCCAATGCGGCCAGATCCTCGTTTGTATTGCCAAAATTTAAACCTTTGTGCGATCGCAGATCTCCATTTACTGTTTCTTCAACGTTTTTCTTTTCCTTTGCGTTATCTCTCTCAGAAGTTCCTCGACCGTGAAGACCAAACCTGGATCCGATCTACAATATTTTTACATATACATTAGAGACTTTGTACAAAGAAAAAAGCGGTCATAAAATAAAACGTAATAATCAAGGTAAGGTCATTGTTGCAACATTTGCGATGTGTATTTTATAATTTGAAAAATACCTCATCCGATGGTCCATGTTGTCCGTAACTAAGTCGTTGCACATTTCTGAAAGTCTCATCGTTCATCGCCTCTCTAACTGCTTCATTTAGCGTGCGCTCCAACGCTCGTTGTTTAGTTTTACTCAGTCCGTCGTAGTAACTAATGCAAAATTATAAGTATTTTCGTTATTTTTATCATCGCATCTCTGCTTAAAATTTGACACACTTTGAAACATTTCTAATATATACGTATAGTGCACATGTAGAAGAAGAAAAAACTCAATCATACTGTTTTGCGTAGTTACATACTCGCGAGTATTTTGCGTATTACGCGCAATTATTTTTCTTTACCTTGAATCAAGAGAGCTGTTATCTCTGGAGATATTCTTATCGCGAACCAGACGGATGTCGTGTTCCCAGAATCGGCGCAGTTCCGGTGTGGATGTGTACGGCGCGGCCACTTCTTTAATCTGCGGTTGAATGAATGATTACGATAGAGAAAACAACGTCGGCACGCGATAAAAGTAAATCATTGCATTTGATCTATACGTCGTGTGACTTATCGATGTGTTGCGAGATAATGTAATGACGCTTTATCGATATAATTTTATGTAACTTAATGATGAAATTCTTAGCATTGTGATGCCCACGTACGCGCGCACTCACACGTGCACGCGCGCGCGCAATTTTACCGCATACAATACGAACTCAAAGCGGGTTGCAGCTGCAATTTGCGATCGTATTCTCTCCGCTATTACCAACTTACATTGCGTGCTAACTTTAATTACCTTCAGAACTATTATCGCCGTAATAAAGATGCACATTACATTGATAAACGTCAGGCACGCGCTAATAATGCCGTTGCAGAAAAATTCTACGGGCAAGTAATCGCTGTAGATGTACGTGTACGCGGTAGTAAAGTTCGTATAAGATTCCCCTTTGATATGAGGCATCTTTATGGGTCGGTATATGAGCCATATACATCCCAGAGCCCAAAATAAACCCTGCGAATAAAAATCCATTTTTCAATTGGAACAAATTAATTGTTGACAATTAATCTGTGTGTTCATAACAAGAAACGATATCGACGAACACTTTTTTACAATCGAGATTAACGATTTACATCACGGAGTTTATTTTACAACAGAGTTGTAATATATCGTTTACTTACGCAATTAACAACTGGCGGCAGTAATGAAGCAGATATGGCGACGCCAATTAGTGGTCCATTGCTACCTTGAAGCAAAGCGACCGCAACACCTGTGCCAGACGGAAGAGCCCAGAGAACGCCCATCCAGAGCGACCTGTAGTTGCCTCTACAACGCGAACATCATTGTATCACAATACACAAGATGTAATTAATAATAATTGATTCTATTATATTATAAAAAAAGTAATACACAATTTAATATATCGGCAATTATACGCGCGTCTACGATGTCGTTTGGCAAATGTACATACCTGCCTTTCATCTCATCGGTCGGCCAATCGTTGTATCCCCAAGGCATTTCGGTTGTTCCGAGAATGAGGCCGAATATGAAGCCGAAAAGTATCGATAGAAAAATACCGAGCATCAGACTCTTCAGGCCGACTAATTGCAGATTTCTGTCGGCTATTATAGTTCCGAAAGTCAGAGACATTACAGGTCCCTTTGATCAAACGAGATCGATAAAACAAAAACCCAAAGTAGTAAAAACAGAAATATCAATGTTATTTTAAAAGATTTTTACCATGAGAGGAGAAACCAACATAGCGGCAACGACGTTGGTTGCACTGTTCTCGACAAGACCGAGTGCGGCGAGACAGCTGTAAGAATGCGACTCTTGCCAAGTAGTTTTTGATTATTAAAACGACGGTCGGCAATATATATATACAAAAAACAATTGCCAACACAGACGAGTTATTGCAAGATTAGGTAGAGAGAGAGAGATAATTTTTTAATACTTGATTTATCACAGCGACAAACAACTTACCAGAAGTTACTTGATTCAATGTTTTAATTATCTACAAATCTAAGAAGTATCACCCGCACACATTGCGAGAGTGTGTGACATGATTACTTTTGGTTTCTTACTCAGCGGTCAGTACCAGCAGCACGTAGTCGAAGGTGAGATCGCCACCGCTGCGAACGCCATCGACTACCTGCTTCACCGTCAATTTCGATCTGATCGAGTCTACGAAACCGTCCCAGGCGTTCTTACGTTCTTCCGATTCCTTCCGTCTAAACGTGCACAAAATGCAAATGAGATATCACAGCGCCAAGTGAAAGTCCACTTTTTATATATTCGTTTCATTAAAAACGGAATCGATCAGTGTGAAACCTGCGAATCACATCCTTGATAGCCGCCGATCCCGTAGGGTTCACTCCGCTGTAGGTGCACTGCGTCGGGATCACACTAAAAAAAAAGTCGACCGATTCGTCGATCAGTGTCATTCTGAACACGCGAAAACTCGCTCACTCGCGAGTTCCGTTTTCCTTCAGTTTCACAAAATTCTCGTAAAATCACCTTACTATCGAGTTCATTTTAACGCCGATACCCATTTCGGTGAGGCAGTGTATGCAGTTCTCGCAAGGCTCGCCGGCGGGAACCGGAAATATCACCTTTCACCGGAAAAGTTTTATTTGTGCACATTATTTTATATTGGAAAAACAAAATCTCCATATATAAATTAGAAAAAGAAAAAACGATGCAATTGTTGCTGTACCTCGTAATACATGTCTTCTTTGTCCTTGCACCATACAACGTGCTCTACCTTCAGCTTTTTCAGAAGTTCCTCCAACACCTGCGTAAGTTGAACGATACGACGCAATTGAACACAATTGCACTTGAACTTTTAACTTGCGAATAGATTGATCTTGATTAAAGCAAGAAAGATTGAGAACTCCCAGAGAGACTCGGTTTTAAAATGTGATTTAATTAAAAATAAATTAACTGACTGAATCAAGACTGAATTAGAAAGTTTAAAATTTCAAATAAGATTATAATATAAAGCAGTTTTACAAACAAGAAGAAATAGAAGGTTTATAATTTAAATAAGATTTTAATAATAATAAGTTTAAACACATTATGTAATATTTTTTCCCTACCGTTTCCATCGACACGAAGACCGGCGTGTTCGATCGCGTGTATCCGCGAGAACGCTGCCTGGAGTCGATCCCGACGTCGACGCCAACGTCGTTGTTTTCGTCGTTGTCGTCAATGTAACCGTTGTTGTAATCATTGTTGATTGTGAGCAGCTGCGTACGCGTCTTCGCTTCCTTGAGACGCAGATCCACCTTCAGTGGCGCAACCAGTTTGCTCTTGTTCCTCTCGATCCTCTTGGATCGTTTCAGAGGCACGCCGAACACAAGTTCGTGCTCGTAGCTCAGGGTGGGAATGCAGACCAGAAAAACAACACCCCCGGGCATGTTTGGTCACTCGGTACAATCGATAACTTTTTAGAAAATCACTCACACGATCAGCATCGCGCAATTGCCAAAGCTGTTCTGTCCGGTATCTTCGACCATGCTTTAGCACATCGAAAGCGTCAAATTTCATTAGCTGATGATAATTGCTTTATTACCCGCCTCGTAATTCTGTTCTGTTGTTAGTGACGACGACTTCGACGCTGTCTTCAAATAGTCGTGACATTGAAGCGTATGAGGTTCAATTCGAGTGGAAATGATCGAGGAATTAAAAATAGCAAAAGACCACTTGTGTCTGTGCGTTTCCATGTATAAGTTTTTATTCTCACTCAAAAGGAAGATAAATACGAAAAGAGGAAAAAAAGAACAGACAAATGGCACATATTCAAGTACAATTGTTTTCGCGTGGATAATCTCGAGATTATTGCGGTACATGGTCAGAGATTGGAAGACAAAACGCAGGTGAGCGATGCGCGAAATAAGAAATCTGTGTCTTTTAAGAAATAAACATTTATTTTCTCTTTTAACAAATCAATAGCGTAAAGACTAGCGTCTAGAGACTAGTCCGACGGTTTTTTCTGTTTTTTTTTGTTTTTTTTGTTTTGTTTTTTATTTTCATCCGATCTAAACAACTAAAGGCCGCGAGGAATATTCCATGCGAGGGGAACTTCCAAATCCGTGCGAAAAATCATTGCTATCTATCGTTGCAAAAAACTTTCTCTTTTTCTCTTTTTTTCCGTGACGTTTTTTTTTTTTTTTTTTTTTTAAAATAAAGCAAACTTATACCCTGTCATCCTTGTAATAGATGCGAAAGTGGTTTGTGTGTAGAGCTCGTATGCTAAACTTAAGTACTAGAAGAAAGTACAAGCGTATATAAAAGTGTCACTGTGGGTCCCCGAGTCAATCATGGGATATAATGGTTAAGGATCTGAAAGACTGTGTTCTTCTCTTTTTTATTAAAAATCTAAACTAATTTTTGTATGGCATTAATAAAATTGACATTCATTTCAGTCGCTATAAGGAAATAAAAAAAAAAAAAAAAGATTTGCGCGTACAATTTTCGGGACACTCCGATGACAAGGTTCCATATTGATTTGAACTCTTGCGATGATTCCGTAATTGCAGTTTTTCCTCGCGTTTTTTTTTTTTTTTTTTTTTTTGACAATCGAAATTTAAGTTTCCGATTATATATTGAAGAATTCTCGTCGATGTTCCCCTCAAAAAAAAAAAAAAAAACTAGCGGAGCTTGAAAGTTATTTTTCCGCTTTTTGCCTGCGCCGAGCGATGGCTATAATCGTATTATTGATTATTAGTAATAGAACTAGTATAGTTTTTACATACTAGCGACAGTAACAAGAGTAACAATTATAACTAGAATGCCGAATGCTTTCTAGCAGTAATGTCGCACTCCGTCTTTCTCTCTCTCTTTCTTTCTCTCTTTCTCTCTCTCTCTCTCGCGTTCTCTCTTTCTCTCTATATAATAGACGAAAAAATAATACTAAAACGATAACAAAAATAATGAGAATGCTGTTGAAAATGACAACAATGTGGATGCCGACAATTCTCTAGCGTATCTTTTTTCTCTAAGAAAAACTGTATGTACATGCTGCGGCTAAGTACTGGCCAAGCGGTGACGCGGGCGATATTAACAATTTATTGTACATATACATCACACACCGTATTTACTCACGAGCATATATAAATACCGGAAAAAAGAAAAATATTTAAGGCCATACTCGAGGGGAGAAACGTCTGCACGTCTGCGCGCGCGCGCGTTTCTCTCTCATCTGATTTCGCATAATATTGCATCGTCCAACGTCGCACAACCGTGTATTTGCTTGGAGAAATTTTCTAAATTCTGGGGATTCGTCGCTATGTGATGTGATCTACGTACATCACCGCGACGTGCTGCGTTGCATTTCACAACGGGGTTACTAACGACATATGACGCACCTAGAAATGACGCATCTAGACTGTCATCTGCGAGATCAAGCTTGCTTGATCCATCGGTAAAGAATGCAATGTTTTTTTTTTTTTTTTCAATAATTTATTTTTCAGATCTCATTTGAGAGAGGAATAAAAATATCCCGTGTCGAAGCAGTGTAAAAGCAGTGTAAGTATTTAAATATCTTGGTGGAAATTGTAACACCGTGTTAGCACCTCATTAGCAAGTTAAAAACTGATTTGAATGTGGAATTTTACTATAAAGAAAAAGTTGAAATGTATGTAAAATGTATGTAAAAGTTAAAATTTATGCAAATATTGCATTTTGATTTTTAACGGCTTAACCTGACCTCGCACATGAACTTCCTATCACACGTTGATAGTCTGACCGCAGTCTAAGCCGCGAAGCAAACAGCAGCAATAGTCGGTCGATGTGGTCGTGGCGCGAGTTCAATGTTAAAACAACATTGTTGCTCCGAGAGAGAAAAAAAAAAGGTACTCGTAGTATGTAAATCTTTCGGGGCACGCCGGCCACACTAATTGCGGGCGTCCCGCAACGCGATCTCTACAAGACTTTTTAGCGATAGCACCGACAACAGTGAATTTTGCCGACAACATTGGGCGTTGAAAGTCGTCAGCATAATACAATTATTTTTTCCACAGTTCCTTAAGGCCACAATTCCAAGACGTCTTTAAGACGGATTTTAGAGATAAGCCCTTGCTCGACAAGCGCCTTCGTTCGCGCAATGCGACAAATAAGAAACAAAACAAGAAGAGAGTAACAGTGAATTCGAAATCTATAAATCGTATACCAATCTTTTGCCTTTCGCCCGCGAGTGTGTCTCTCGCGCGATCGGAATATCGAACTCGCAAGCGGGAGGAGAATTCTCCGCTTTAAACAACGTTCGTCATTTTTTTTTCATCACGTTGTCTCTCACACGCGGAAAAAACTCATTACAAATACTTGACTTTAGAAAAATATCTTTTTTTTTTTTGCACGTAATCGCGTTTCTCCTAATCTCTTTCTAATTCAAATTTTCGCATTTTTCTAAATATTTCCTCTCGTACACGCACATACACGAAGTCCAATCAAAATGATTGACGCATTTTGCTACAATCTTTCGTGGCACGTTATCCATCCTCTCTTTCTCTCTCTCTCTCTTTTATCGTGCCTCGATTTTGTCTCGTGACGAGCCAAAGCGCGTCAATGAGACTCACGCTCGTTCTCACTCGAATCTTCACACGGTTGCTGGTCCTCCTCAAAAGATTGAAGGCGGCTTGTCAAGGGCAGGTATTCTCAAACGGGCGCGCTCGGGCGTCGCAGGAGCGAAGAGAGCAACGACGGTCGCGGCGGCCGCCGGAAGGGCCGACGCCGACGGTGCTCAGAATCCGCTAACGCGGACGACCACTCCTCGGCGACGGCCCTTAAGGGTCAAGCCTTCTCCTCCTCCTCGTCTTCCACGTCCTCCGACGAATCCGAGGTGGAAGAGGTGATCAGGGCAGTTGACAGGCTCGGCATCTGGACGGACGAGCAGGCGAGCGAGTTAAGGCGTCGTCTCTGGGCACTCCAGCAATCTGGCAAGGAGTGAGAACCGTCGTCCACCGCCCTGTCCACTGACAGCGAGTGTGTCCGGTCGGCAAAGCCGAGTTCCATCATCGACACCCTCCTCGCGGGCAACCTCCTCGGGTTTCCTGGAAAAAGGAAAACCGACCGATTCCGTCTTATTCGAGAAATTTGCAGGTTTTGGAAAAGCAACTTGATTAGTTAGTGATAATCGACGCTATTTAACAATTGCTATCTATACTACGAACAATTGTTTAAAAAGTAATACATGCGCTAATAAAACTTTTAATATTGCTATTATTTTCAGTTTCCAACGGTAATACACAGTTACTTATTTATTTTTTATGATTTTGTTTATTCTTTTATGTATCATTTAAGATGTAAATAGACTTTTTTCTGGTTTATGCGCTTTTTTTTATGTTTGATAAAAAAGCAGAAAGCTGATAAATTTGATGCATATAATAAAAATTTATCTATACTAATCTAAGCAGAAAGCTGTTTTAAGAGTGTAATAAATTTATTTATTGCAGATAGTTCGCTGCGGCGCTAAGGGAGAAAAATATCGCAGCGGACAGCGCAGAAACATCGCAGAAGAAACTATCTAAGTCTATCGAGACAGAATAATAACTAAGAACAAAAACGTTAAGAAGTTCACTTCTTCAAATAGTTTGCTACGTGTGTAACGATGTCTATAAAAAAAACCAATCTCTAGAAGAATTTGTAATGAAGAAATACAACTTTTAGAAAAAGAATAAGATTTATTAACACATGCAATTCATTGTCGAAACAAAATATTTGTTGACGATTAGAAGTTAACACGTTGCGGGCGATTTGTTGTTGCGTGTCGATGCTAGTTTTGCAATTGCTTGCAAAAATAGCCACGAACGTACATACATGTAACGTGTGAGTGACACCCGTCAGAGAACGCACTAAAAAATAGCTTGTGTCAGAGGTTCTCAATGTTTTGCATGTGTTTGTGTACTAATTTGAGCGTTTCTAAGCGTTTCGAGCGTTTCAGAGTTTATATAAATTTTATACTTATATTATATTCGCATAAAATCTGAGAATACACTCGAGAATTTCGAGATACGCAATCTTTACGCATCGATAATCCCGGATATGTAATCTCGGATCAGTAGAACGTTTTATTTTTTGTGGCAGGATGGATCGATCGGCCCCTCGTTTGAAACGTAATGTATACCGTAATACACGTGGAAATGAAGGAACGAGAAAAAACGAAAAAATAAAAAAGAGAACACACGTACCCTCCTTCTGCTTTGCGTCACGTACCCTTGGTTTTCGCGGGGGAATCCATTTCCGCGGGGGTGTATTCGTCCGTCTCGTCTGCCTCTTCGACCGTCTCTTGACAATCGATAGTGTCGGGCGTGCACGTACTCTCGCGTCGAAATAGGCCAATCACGGATTGGACTTTCGGCTGTTCGATCCCACCTGAAAAGCGGAAAGACAATGGACACACGTTTTAGTGGAGATGAGAATAGGCGATCTAAAAAAAAAAAAAAAATCGAAGACTCGACTAAATAAAATATTAAAGAATTTTTTTTTTAATATATATAAAACACGAAAATTATTAAATTTTTCATAAAATCGATCCTTCTGCCGGTCGCTTGTCTTTTAAAATTGAACGAAATTTATTATTAAGCGGCTAATTTGACGCTGCCTTTGTTGAATGTTTTCATTTTACCTAAGAAAGTGGCGGAAGGCGAGCTATAAGCGAGGTATTCCTTATTGGAGCACCAAGCTGGGAATTCGTTCTGCTTGATTGGATGACCTGACTCGTAATCGTCCTCACGTTTCCACGGTAACATAGTTTCCGTGGCCGTAGGGGTAGTTACCCTGAAGCTTTCCGCGCCTGTGGGTCAAATACCACAGATGCACAAGACAATTGCAAAAGAAATTACGAAACGGAGATTGAAACCGTTATGATTCCGACGAGTGCAATTTTCTGTGCTGTATATACAAGTACAAAAAGTCTGAAATCACCGAAATTATGCCGGTTTCGATCTCTTTTAGCGAAACAGACGAGCACAGTGGAAAAAAAAAAAAAAAATTATAAACTAGCTAGCGATATAAAATGGGAAGAAACAAAAACAAAGTGTTCGACACAAAATTATCGCTTGATTTCAGCACACAATATAAAAAATACGCAAAACAAAACGGTTCAGGTTCAACACAAGATCATCACTTGGCTCCTTTCCTTTCTCTGTGAAAGAAAACATACCGTCGCGTCCTATTTTCAAGTCTCCCTCGTCCGAATTTATCGTATCCATCGACGTAGTAGCGGTGGTAGCGTGTTGATTGTCCGCGTTTACATTGGGCGAATCTTGTTTGTTTAGACATTTTAAGATTTATTAGAGTTAACGTTGTGATTAAGCGATTATTCAAGTACTGGCACGCGTGCATATATTTTTTATACATTTTTTATACATTTTAAATTAAATTTATAATCCTGATTATAAAGAAACAAAGAAGAGAAAAAGATCGAGAGACAGCCTCTTCGTTTTCTAGTCGCCGTGTATTCGCCAACATGCTTTGATCTATATAATTCTCTAAATTGTTTGAAATCTATATAATTTAATTAAAAAAAATAAAAAAATAAAAAAAACGAAAGAAAAAGGTTTTCTTACCAGACGTTCGTGCGGTGAATGTAATCGCCGAATCCCAATCCTCTTTGCTTGAGGGCTTCGAGGTTTCTCCGTTTTCTAACTCGTACAGCACGCCATTAATGTAATCTGTATGTATAAGATAATGAGCTTTTTTATTTCATAAAAAGCTAACGAAAAATTGAAGTACGAAGATTAAAAACACACTAATCGCGATCTACGTACCTTGCGTAAATAATTTGGTCGAGCCGTTTTGTTGAAATTCGGGGAAACTAACGTGATTTTGTTTGCCGTCCTACATAATCGCAATCAATAAGTGACGTGAAAAGAGGGAAGAAAAAAAATTAAAGCGAAGGTGAGATCGCACACACGTTAAGTGGTTCTTACTTTGACAAACTTCTTGCTGCGTTTGTGACGATGTTTGTGCTCTCCCATCATCCGCCGGATGTTCATGTGCATTTTGTAATTGACTTGCGTCGAGAGATCGCGATCGTTCACCGCGTGTCGGCTGTAGCTCAAACGCCGATGCTGAATGAATAATTATACATGAATAAATAATTATAAATGGTTGTGCATATTCTTGCACGCACATTAGATATAGATGATTTTGTTTCAGTTAATTTTCAGTCAAAAACAGAATCAAAATAATAAATCTCTCGAATAGAAGGATTTTAATACCCGGATCAGTTTCAATATGTGCGATATTTTTGAATGTGTTAAATAAATAACAAGATTTAAATATCGAAAGACTATAATTAAATTAAAATTTAGTTAAAATTGGAAAAAAAACGATAAGTATAATACAGTTAATAAATATCTTTTTCTGATGCGGGATATATAATAAAATAAAAAAGTGTTATAAAAAAAGATTCATTACAGAATCTATTTAACTTCTAACACAGGTCATAAATCACGAGCAGACGTCGAAAGAAATTCTAGATTTGATGTAATTGAGGAAAAAATCCAGATTTCACCATAATGTATCTCTTACCCTTTTGTAGGGCTTACAAAGCTCCTCGGCGAGCAGATGGTGAATTCTCGCGTCCGTCAGATCCTTTTTGGAAGGATTGTACTCGAGTTCCTGCAGATCGATATTCCATCCCGACTCGAGCTGGCTGCAGCTGGGACTGAAACAGAGAAGAATATGATTAAATTCCCCCCGTTGCGCTTTCATTTTATTACCATACGACATTGTCATCAGGTTACGAAACAGGAGTAAAATTTTCCGCACCTCCCATTGAACTGTCCGGTATTGCTGTAATTACGGAAAATCGCCGACATGCTTTCGGTCCCGCTAATGTTACCGATGGTGGAGGCGTTTCTTCTTATGTAATCCAACGCGTCCTTCATCGCCAGCTTCGAGTAAGTTTCCAGAATCTTCGGCTCGGCGCCACAGTGATGTCTCACGAGATAGGGTCGGATAAATTTGTTGTCAAATCGCTTGAATCTGTGCGGAAAAGGCAAACAAAATAATATAATACTCTCTGTCATCCGAAGAATTGTGGGAAATAACGTGTTCCGCGAACGTGATTAGTCAACGCGATGTTGTTACTCGATAAGATACGACAATAGTTCTCAGCAAAGATTGTCACAATATAATTATTGTACTGCAAAACTGTGCATTGTCATGTAAACAAAACTTCCTTATCACATTTTTTTTTTTATTAGACTAAAGAAGCTTATTACGATGTTTTCCCGAGTAGAATAAATGGATTTGTTTTTAATGCCGCACTTTGCTTTCGTTTACTTTGCGTAAATTGTATTTCGTTTTCACTTTAACAACTTCAACGTATAGAATCCTCCTGCGCGATCGATCTCAAACATCGTTGACGTGAATAAACAAGATTATCTAAAGTCTTACTTATCCCGCACGTGGTAGTTGCCGTGTTTTCCCAAAATGTCCTCGATACCCGCCATGGTATGATCCATTATCTGAGGATTAAGAAACACGTCATTTATTTGTTGATACTCGACACAACCGTGTACATAAGCGTAGCGAAAATTACGAAGATTTGATGTACGCGAGCGAAATTGAAACGGCAAGCAAACCGCAGTGCATCAAAGTACCGCGATATAAAAATTGCGTTACACATACATTCTGTTATAAACCGCGGCTTGACAATGACGAACGTTATCCCATTTCACAATTCGACCCTATTCTTCATATCGATCGCGAGCTCGCGCGCGCCAAACCCGCCCGCCCGGCGCTTTCGTCATTTCGTTAAAGAGAAAATACGTCCCGTAACCGGGACACTTCGAAGTATAAATCGAACTCGTTCAGACAGTGATTCTCTTGAAATTATCTTATCGAACTTCCACGTAAGTACGTTTCTGCATCAGCATTGATTGCCTTCGCGAAATGAATCTCCTTCCGTTTCGTCCCTCGCGCGCGCGCCGATGATGACCTCAATTTCCGCGAGTTAGCGCGAGCGCGATCGCAAAAAATTCTTCGGTAACGCGATTCATTACAGAACACACACGTACCCTTTCGTGGATCCTCTCGTTCATCGTCGGCTTCCTCTTCTCGGCTCTTTTGACATTGAGGAATTTCACCAGAGGTTTGATGGTGATCCCCTGAAAACGCGAGAGAGCGTGTGTTACACACATGGGCGCGTCATCGCAAAAACATGCTCGTTCGTGACGCGAGCGGATTATCGTCGTTAGTGGTTGGCGCCAAAGCGAAGAAGAGCAGCACGCGGCTGATAAAACGCTCGACGCAAAGGTGTACATATAAACAAGTGTGTGCAACTCACACACACACACACATACATATCGGACGATATTAAATTTCCGATCGATCGCGCAACAAAGACACACGTGCAGAGAGTTTTTTTTTTGCGATTAACTCTTTATCGTACTCGCTCTGCTCATTAATCGTCGATCAAACGATTCAGCCGCGACGCTGCGAAGCTCTTCTTTTCTCTCAGTTTCTTCGTTCCGACAAAACAAACTTGTCAGAGAAACGCTCTCTCGAAATGCGCACATCTCCCGTGTGTGTCACCTTTGCTCGCAATCTCAAAATAGTCACATCTCTTCCGTGAAAGACACACGTATTATCGAGTCGATTCGGTTTAACTCGAACAAGATCTATATCTTGCACCCGCTCCATGAAGAAAGAAACGCATGCGTCTCTCGTTACGCAACTCACCTCCCGCTCGAATTTGCGTCTGTAGCTATTCGCGTATTGATCGCGATCATACGGTACGCACACATCAGCCGTGATCTTATACCTGAACAAACACGGTGAAGTAGATGACAGCGATAGTGGTGGTGACAAACATGGGCTGTAGAGGCACGTGTCTGGGATCAATGAGAAGCACCAGAGCGAACGCTACGGCGCCACGTAAACCGCCATAGGACATGACGAATTTTTCAACCTTGTCGAGTTTGTGAAGCCGGAACTGATTCGCCAGCGCCGTGAGCACTATCACGCCTGTAAAAACAAAACACGGAAGTCGAACGTAATTTTATATCACTTGTAGCGCGTCCAAAATTTGCAGCGATAAATTCTCAACAACTAAACAGAGAGTTTCGTTCGGAAAATCCGTTTATAGAAATCACATGTTTTACGTTCGATTATTTTATCGCTCTTAGAAGTAGATAGACATTAAGTTCGATTTAGGAGTAATGCTTTTGTATAGAAGGTTCGATTGAAGCGTGTGAGATGCCCAATCAGTTATATTGTCTCGATCGTACACGAAATATCCATTAAGTCGATCTGACAGATCCAATCATCGGAATGAGAATGTACCGTCTAATCTCCCATAGGCGTCTCCCACTATAAATTTTCCGCACGATCGAGCGACAAATTGTCCGGTTAAGTCCGGTTCGGACAAGAAGCCATAAGACGGTGAAACATGTCGTTCGCGTTAAGCCGCGTGACGTAAGGTACTCGTGTAAGCAGGAGTCAATTGTCTTAAGTCCCATTATGATTTCATCGTTTAACCATATCGCTTTACACGCCGTTTTATCAGCAAAAACGATGCTCTTTCTAACGCCCCCGGGCTGGTCCGGTCAAGGCCCGCGGCGTCTCGTGTAAAAATTCTCGGACACGAATCCGTTATTCACATCACGCCATCATTTTCCCATTTCTTTTCTCAATAACGTTCTCGCACGCATTGTAAAATCTCTCGTCAAGAGAACTTTACCGGCCAATATTATATCACATACGTATATTTTAAGACGACCTTCTATTTTTCTCAAAGTTATTTGAATTTAGAGGCGTAGTTTTCTTTAAACTTTTAAATATTCTCAATTTATAGATAAAACAATTACATTTTTCTATATATATTCTAACTTTTTAAATATTTATTTGTCAATATATTTTAAACAAACGGACGCGTCATATTTATTATATTTATATAAAAGTGAGGAATTAACAATTGCTTTAAAAAAAGATGCAATGAAGCATCGTATTTAAAAAAAATATTATTCTAAAGCTGTAAATTTTTTTATATGTCCGACGTAAAAGCTATTTAAATGTAAGATTACAACATTCGGATATTTTCGAGAAATATCCTTCTCTCTCCCATTTCGGTCGACGACGAACGATTGCGTCGCGCGCGTTCGAGTAAAATTAGAAAATCTGTCTTTTACTTGCCTACAACGCGATAGACAGAGCAGAAGACTATCGTCATAATGATGAACCACGTATTCCAGTCATGAGTATTGTTCACCGTGGCGACGCCGAGGAACATGAAAATGATGGTCTCCGAGCTACTCGACAGCATCTTCATTGTGTACTTGACGGTCGTGTGGGACTTGTGTGATATATTTGCCTCGACGTAATTCTTCATCGTAATGCCACAGAAGGTTATACTAGAATAAAGGGATTGCTAATTAGGCGAACGAATAGCGCGGAAACCATTTCTATTTCGGCAAAATGATGAAACTGCGTGAAGCGCGAGTCTCGATACTGCGAGCGCGTGTAATTACAACGCGCCGCAACTGTATAAATGGAAACTCTACTATTTCGAATGTTTCAATATTCAATGCTGTTCAATATTTATTTTGAATTATTGATTACTAATTAAATACTCTACTACTGTGTTTTTGTGTTTTTTGTTTGTTTGCAAAGAATTGACAGATTCTACAATTGATAGATTTTTGATATTTAAGAATATATATTTCTGTGATTCCAGAAATAACTAAGTAAAATACAAAGAAGTAAAATAATATAAACAATTTATATCTTACAACGAGGACGCGAAATATCGAGCTCTCTTTTTCTTAATTTAGCGATTACTCGCCGCGAGACGTATCTCGAGGGGCTGGAGATGCCAATGCAATAGATCGTAGCCGATGATTTACTCACGCCAATATGCCGGACAAGTGGAAGATCTCCGCGCTGAGGTATGCCAAGTACGCCATCACAAATATGAAGATCGGCTCTATCACGCGCACTTGATAAGTAAACCTGGTCACGAAGCCAGTGGCGAAACCCCAAACTATACCTATTAGAGTACCGCCGATTGCCACCACCAAGAACGAGGCTAGTCCGGCTAGCACGTCCGTGTATATGATCCTGGAAGGTCCCATCTCGCTGTACGTCTCGAACATGTGATAGAGCACCTGCGTATTTGCAAATTAAAACAATCGTTTACTCGCGATCGTCGCAATAAACACAACCGTCTCGACACTTTCCTCCGTTCCGCAACAAATCTATAAATTCTAATTAGACGATCGTTATCGACGCGATCTTTTTATTTGCACGATCGTATTTTTGGCACAACTCGACTTTTGCGTCAGAGGTGAACATTTTTTCCGGACAACTCGAGACCGCGCAAATAGCACAAACAAGTTTATAAAAAGCAGCGCAGCGGGGACACTGGCCCATTTGCGGAAATATTCAATCTTGGAACGAATAAAAATGGAACGAGAAACGAATAAAATAATTTTGCTCGAATCGACGCGGCTACTTTTTATTTTTAGTTGGACGGTACGGAAATATTTTTTGAAAGTTCTCTGTTTGCGCTATTAATATTAATCGCGTTCCCGAATGCATCGCGGCGACTCGTTTATTGAAGTCGTTGCGACAAAATCGCGTGTTTGCATTATGTTCGTTTTGTTTTATTCAAGTGAAATATCACGGTCATCGCAGACATATGGCTCCAAGCAAATATCATATCAATTTTTGAAGCGGCGCGTGTGTATATATATATATATATATATATATGTATATATATGTGTGTGTGTATTTGGTACTCAACTCGCGCGCTTATGAACGACGGAACGATCGATAACACATATATCGATCGCTTGACCGGCGCCGAAGTGCTTGTCGTTTTGTAAAATCACGTGCAGGTTTACCTTTACTTTCTCCGCGTTCGCCTATACTTATCAGGTATTCTAATGAACGCGTTTGACGGAATATTAATCAACGTCAGGTTTTCAGGGACAAAAGCCTCGGCAGGTGGAAGAACGGCAAGAGATTTCTATTTAAAGCAATCGTAAGCGCAATTGTTTTTATCATCTTATGCGTATTAATCGCGCGATGATCATTTCGCGTCGTCATCGCACGAGTGAAACACAGGTGAAAATTAATCCGTTCGCAAACATCCGTTCTTGTTTATCGTTGCCCTTGTGTGTTTATCAATTTAATTGCAATTTTTTTGGTTTATTTTGTCTTCTCTCCGATTCAATATTTATTTTTATCTTTTAATTTTGATGTTTATTGTGCACGCGCGGAGATTTTCTGCTCAGGTACATAAGCGCGATCGGGATCGATCGGCTTTAACTTGACCGCGTCCACGTCGAAGGACTTCAACGGTTAGCGACAAAAAGGCATCGGCTTTGAGAGCTCTCGTCGCTTAGTTCTGCCTACGCATAGAAATTCCCCGATTGCACGGGAACGTGTGTAATATAAATAATGCGATAATACTCACGACAGTGACCGCGTCGTTCAACAAACTTTCCCCGAACACAACGATGTAGAGTATCTCGTTCACGTGTATCTCCTCGAAGACGGCCAGCACCGCGACGGGATCGACTGCGCTGATCAACGCCGAGAACAGGAACATGTCGAGGATAGGCGTTTCGCAGCCGAAGATGCCGCTCTTCCCCAACAACCACAGCGACACGCCTGTGTGCACGAAAATAAAGCGCGATATGTAAGATATAATTTTTGAAAAAAAAAAAAAAAAAAAAATACAAAAGCCGTTTTTCTCTCTTCTCTTCCTCTCGTTGATACCGCGAATTTTCTTTAAATTCGCGATTATCGTCGCGTTGATTTCGCTCGTTCGAACGAAAATTGACAATTTATCCCGATTATTATCATCTCATCAATTCACGAAGTCAAAATGAAAACGTTACTCGTGACAAGAGAGAGGAAGATTAACGTCGCCGAAAATAGAAATTTGTATTATCGGAACCTCGCCCACGCGTTATATTCGCGCTCTCATCAAGACTCTCGCTCTCTTTTCCCGATGCGAGAGAGAGAACGCTTTCTTTTATATTAAGCCCTTCGTAAATTCGCAACGATTACGGAAGTTGTTTTTAATCTTCTCTCTCTCTTTCTGGTCGTACATTAATTAAGATCGTGCTGTAATTTCGTGTTATCGATTCCTCGTCGTAAGCCGTTACGCTTATCACTCGGACGTTTACTGTTTTATACGCGTAATACGCTTCTGAAACAACACAAGGAGGTCTTTATTTCCGCACGCGCGCGCGCGCGTTGCGAGCTTCTTTAAAAGATCAATTCGAAGTTAATTGAATACCTCGTAAAAAATACAGATCTCATCGCGCGATAATTACAGTCGTTACGGACAATTAAATATATAAATGATATCGCGATCGCTTTTCACATTTTTATCGCGCCTCACGCGTCGCGATGTAGAGAGACAATATTGAGATTTATCTCGCGCGCGAACACACTTGCGAACACGTCTCCTGACACCTGAATTTATGTTCGCGCATTTACGTTCGCTCTAATTAAGATTGTATCGAGGCTCGGATATTCAACCGATGTCACGAATGTGATAAAAACCAAGAATTTTATTTAACTAATTGCAGCTGTAATAGCATTCAATTTTCTTTCCGAGCGCTCCGTGCGTTGTAAATGAGAATCGATGATTGTTACATGTCAGAAGTGAGAGAGATAATGAAACTCTTAATAAACGAAAGAGAAACCACACACGCATATAAACACACATATATGAAAATCAAGTCCGAAAGCCTCAGAAAAAAAAACTCTACGTTTGTAATATTTTGTATATTTATAAAAAAAAGAGTAACAAAATGATTTTTAATATTCATTCTATGCGCCTCGTAAAACGCTATAAATAACGACTACGATATTTTACAATGCTATTGACCTTGGCACTCGGTCTTGGCGTCTTTGGCTCTTTGCAACGAAAAGATACAGTATGAAAATATGACAGTGACAACCTTTTACCAGTGTCACACAAGTCCTTTATACCAATCGATAATTGGTATAACCGCGTCGTTTGCATTCAACCTATATAATGCACTTTTTTTCCATATTTTAATATTTTTAACGAGATTTTTATCGAAAATTAAATTTATTCAAACGCTCAAACGTTTTGCCCCAGATTTGTTTTTTACTGCTCCCGGTAACGATAAGTTTTTGTTCGCACTTTGCGGTTATCGCGGAGTCACGATCGAATCGCGCACTATCATTACCACGATAGCGGTATTGTCGGAATGACAGTTGCCGCACGCGCCGTGTTCGCGTTTGTGTGTCGTCCGTGCTTACACACGACATACACGTGCTGCGCGCGTCGTCGTTGTCGTCGTCGTCGTGTTGTCGCGTCGTTGTCGTTGTTGTCGTCACGACGTCCGTTTCAACGCTCTATTTTCGCGCGCGTTCTCAGATCCCGCTTTTCCTCTGTGTTTTTAAGACAAACATCTCGTCCTTTCGCTAGACTGCGCACAGACTGCGCGAGCAAAAATCAAGAATGGGATTTTATCATTCGCGAAATGATCGGTGCTCCCTTTATGCGCTTATTCGCGCACGAACTCTCTCTTGTTTATGGGAATTTTTATACAAACTTCAAATCGAATTTTTAGAGCATGTTTTTTCTTTCTATATTAGCGCACGTTCGTCGTTTCCCAAAAAAGAAAGAAATTGTTTCGGTTGTATGAAAAATTGAGACGGCAATCGATCCGCGGCAAAAACTCATTACTACGAGCATCTTACATTAGCAAACCAAACCTTGAACCAAGCTGAACTTCGTTCGTGAGTTAATCGCGCGTTTACACATCGCGAAGTCAATTACCGCGACTAAAGCTTCTTCGTCGGAAAACATAGGTATTTTATTAAACGGGCACTTTCTAATCCGTTATTTCTGTAAATTATATACGGTGACGTCTAAAAAATCTCAAAAGTCTTCCGAATAATATCCAATTTTTGTATAAAAAAAAAAAAAATCGACAACAGTGTTAAAAATTAAATCTAAAATCATTGCGTGTCGTGCCATTATTTTTTGTGTCATTATTTTACGCCTTTCTTTTTACGAACAACATGATGTATGATCCAAGAAGAACATATATATATTATACATATTTTCCCGTTATGTACGCGGCCCATATCTACGTTCACGTGACATTTCATGCTCGGAATCATTTGGATAACACACATGCCGAGCTCTCCGAGCGCTCGGTCTGGCATCTTGAGATCCTCGAGATTGAGTATGTACCCTTGTTTTTTCACCGACAACCAGGTTTTATGGGATTGTTACGTGGGTGGTGAAGCGGCCGGACCGACCGGCGCGTCGAGGAAAAAGAGAGAAAATAATTCGAGTCGAAAATTTTTTCGTCCGATGTGCGTGGCGCTCGATCGGGCGCGCCAAAGAATATCGGTCGCGTCTCGCCGCCGCCTTTTACTGACCTATCGACATCGTATTAAATATAGTCCCAAGGACGGCAAACAGGAGTATCGTCCCGAGATGATCAAAGAACAGTCGATTCGGCATGAAGTAGCCGGCGTCCAGAATAATGGGCGGCAGCATGTACAGGAAGAACGTGTCCGGCGTCAACGGCGACACGTGGACGCTCGTCGCCTGGAACAGCAAGAGGCCGACGATCACGCCGACGGCGATCAGCAAGCAGGACTCCGGGAAGATCTTGCTGAGCTTCGGCGTCATGTGGAAGCCTGGACATCAAAACGGAGAGACGTATCATCTTGATTAAATGTGTCGTCTATTGCTTCAAAAAAAAAAAAAAAAAAAAAAATCGGAAACTATTCCGATGAACTCGACGATGCGAAAGTGCAAATGTAGAACAGTGTTCCAGTGTCGTTTAAAAATAAATATATCGTCGCTTAGTTCTTTTTTTTTTCATCCTACAAAAGCCGAGCTCATCGAAATTATGTCGATTCTCTGCTGAGAATCACTGCTAACCGGTATGTGCCGTGCTGCCGCAGCGAAGATTCCAACGAGTTGGAGCAGGTGCAAGGTGTCGCGTGCGCCCCGCAGTTTTTTTTTTTCACACACGACAAAACTCGCGTGCGCGAACCCGAGCTCTATCGTGTGCGCACCATTCGAGAATGTGCCAGATATTCTCGTGTATAAAATACTATACATCGCTTGATGAGACCACACTGCGCCGGAACCTTCGCCACGACCGTGCGCACAACTCGAATGCGACAAATGAGCCAGAAAATTGTTGAATGAAATGAAAAAGATGATGTCGGTGGTCATGGCAGTTGGCCGGTGCCAAAATTTCGGTCTCGTAAAATCTCAAAAGATTCACGATCGTTTTTATTCGCGTGTTCGACTATTTTAATTCTTAATTTTAATCGATTTATTATTTCATTTTTTTTTTTTTATACATATTCGCGCATCTTTTATCATTCTTTTATCACATAACAGACGTTTACACACTTTTGCGCTCTTATTTATTATTTTATTCTCACTGGTTTTGCCCATGACTCGACACTCCGTACGAACGACAGAAATATCAACGGCACGGTTTATTTTTCTCCGACTAGCGCACCGTGTCCCGCAGCTGTGCGTAACGCGCTCGCGTATATGCAGAGTGAGTGAAATTACACGAATTAGAAAGAAAAATTGCAATTCATTGAGCATCACATATACTTGCGGCGAGAGTAATTAAATGCTCGCGCACGTGTTATTCGTGCAAACATCCTTATATTGTGCGCCGCACAAGATAAGATGAATGTGTGCGTTTTTATGAGATACTACAATTCTTGATCTCTTTAAGTGTCGGAGCATCATCATTTATATCAATATGCGAAACACAGTGGCTTTTCTATTATTATCGCGCAATCTTTCACAATTTTCATACTCGTTACGTTCTTTATGTTCGTTGTACAATTCATTTGAAATAAATTGCGGTTGTAGTGGTTAAAAAAGTGAATTTTTAGTGTGAGATAATTTTTGAAATAATAGGCTCTTTGTGCATATTAAGCGCCGCATATATTTGTAATGATAAATTATGAGAAAACAATTATATAAAGTTTATTTCGACAAAAAACTAATACGCGAAAAACTTTATTTTTAACATAACAAATATTGCACGTTGTTTTGAATGACATTTACTACGCTTTGTTTGTTATATAAGCAAATGAAAGAATATGATATATACGCTAATATGTTCATCGAAAAACATCGCTACCATAAAAAATTGACACAATTCGATGTGCACAGATGAATAAAATTGCGGCCAGATGTTTTCCATCATATACAACACAATGAATGTAAAATGTGTTCAACAATTTTGAAATAAAATGTTATTTACCAGGGCTTGAAGTTATCATAATGCACACATACGTAATTGTTTCTAATTTTGTCACGTAGATCGTTATGACCCAAAAATGCGAGGTGCCGCTTGCGGATATTAAGACTTTTAATTTAATTTTTAAATAACTTCTATAGAGAAACATAGAGAATTATATTAATTTATGTTTTTATGCTTGCATTATTTTACTTCTATTATTTTCCTCTAAAACACTTTTGAAAAAGTCAAACTAAAGGTATGACTGTAGATTATGATTGTCCTTGATATGACAAAGTACAGTTGTGAAAAGTAAACACGAATCTAAAGAACACGATTCTTAAATGTTGGCAAATATTTATCAATGCAAACGTCACAGAAAGAAAATATACAGCCACGAAATGTCTGCTTCTTTTAAATTAAAATCACTTGATTTACAAAAATATTCTATTAATTTTTAACAGATATTCCTTTCTTTCAACAATTCTTTCAAATCCGTTCGTAAATATTGAAAACGTCTGATGTTTATATTGTATTAATAAACGAGATGTTCCAAAGAGGTTTACACGCCTGCAAATCTTTTCTACCAAACATACAAAAACACACACACACATATCTCAAGAAAAGAAAAATAAATTCTACCATCTTCTTCTTCAAATTTGCGCCAAAATCACTTACCGATTTTTGCGATGCTGGCGAAGAAGATCCATATGCCGATGATAAAGGGCGTCTCTACGCGATGAAATTCGACGCTGATGACATGATACTCCGGTTTCTCGTTGCTGTGCGAGGAGTCGTCGGCGATCGCGGCGTCGTCGCCGGAGCCCTGGGCGGTGAGTTGCTGCGAGTTTTCCTGAGGACGATGTTGTTCGTCGCCAGCGGCCGACGAGAGGCTGCGCAGAGTGGCGCTATTCGGCAGCGCCGAGCGCACGACCGGACCCATGGGACCGAAGTTCATACCGGGATAAGCGCCGTAGGGATCACCTGAGAAATCAGCGGTGTCGATCTGCGGCTCGGTGTGCTTCTCCGCCGAGGTGTCGTGCTCCGCGAAGGGATCGAACGTCTTGTCGTGAAGACGCGCGGAAATGCCGGCGCGACCGCATCCCGGACAGTGCAGAACGACGGCGAAGATGAGCACGATCATCGGTGTGATTCCCATGGCGGCGACGCGACGACCACGCGTCGACGACGTCGACGACGCGGGTGCTCCTGGCGACGTGATAGACGACGATTCGCGTCGTCGTCCGCACTCGTCCGTCGCCGGTGAGTCACTACCACTATCCGCAGTAGTACCATGAGAAGAGAACGCCGCCACGACGTACGTTCGCACGCTCACACACTCGCGAAGTTTCCCCGCGATTGACCGACGAGACTCCCCTTTTGATCAGCGTGCAGCAACGGCCAGGTGCGGGCAAGGGCGGTTTACTGCGATCAGGAGAGAGCTACTCTCCGAGTGCAATCACACACCGCTCTACCTCGTCGCCCCGCACTCCGCGCGTCCACTCCAGCAGCGTGCTCGCCCTCTGGGTCACGCTATGCAGCACGCCGACTCGACTTGTAAACTGTAGATTTCGGAAGTCGTCCGCCCGGAACGCATCAACCAAGTTCTTCTTCGATTCGATCTGCTTCTTACGTGTTTTCTCTCGATAATAAATAATTTCCGTAACTTCGCTCCGAAGTTAATTAATATATGGCGTAGCTTTACTTAGTAATCTCGGACAAGAGTGTATTACAGAAAAAAATAAACTGTCAAACTGTCTATCTGTGATGACACGCGTTTGATCGCTTTGACAGGAATCGCAGTTCCAAGTACCGAGAATCGCGGTACAACAAATATCACGGCTGTAAATCGCTAAAGCGTCAGACTCGCAATAATTAAACGTGACTCACACGACGCTGCTGCTGGCTGTTCATGTTTCTGCGTGGAACCGACATCGTTGGAACATCACTGTTGTTGTCTTAGAAGTACTCGCAATCGCTCCGAGATTGAATGAAAATTCGACGATGTGCGATCGCATCGGAAGCTGAGAGAAAACTCCTTCTTCTCTTTTTATTTTTATTGTTTCTTTCACTCCTTTGGGAAGATAGCGAATTGTGGACTGTTCTCACACTTCGGCTCGGTCCGCGCGAACGAGCCTAAGTAAACGCGGGTGAGAAAATCTCTGGCTTTCGTGGCTCTCGATCTCGGATTTTGTTTAGATACCGATCACCGCGTCTCGATCTTCGTAAACGATGATGACGGGAAATGTTACACGTCGTGCGAAGCTACTCGGTTTACGCACCGCTCGCGAATACCGCGACGCTCTCAAGTCTTTATAGCGTCGCCCGGCAGTGAGCGCGAGGTCTGATCGACGCGCGACCGCGGCGGCCCGAAGACGACGACGACGGCGACGTGGTGGGACAGGAAGCGACGTGACGGTGATAACGGGCGCGCCGCATCATAAAGTACAGGCGGGCGACTCATCGAAGAGCTGAACGTGTGTCGCACCTTCGCCGGCGTGTCTCTATCGACCGACCGAACGACCGACCGACCGAGAGAAAAACCGTCACGGCAGCACTGCACAGTCGCGTTACTACTGACGCGCACAATTGCTCGTTGTCGACGACGACGACGACGACGACGACGACGCCGACGACGACGACGACGAGAACCGAGCGAGAAGAAGCGCTGCCAAAAAACGTGCGTAGGCGCCGTCAGCACTGCCCTCGTCGTCGATGGCGATAGTTATAATATATAAGTGCGCGTCGTTGTAGGCTCTCTAAGAGACTGTCTCTCTCTCTCTCTCTCTTTCTTTCCTTTTTCTCCCCGTTTCTTGTTCTATTCGCCTTCTTTCTTCTCTCGTCGTCCCTTCACGTCGCTTTCCTCGTGAGTCTCTTTCTTTCTCTCTCTCTTTCGCTCCCTCACTCGACGGAGTCGCCTCGAGCCAGCTGATCGTCGATGAAACCCGCGCAAGCGTCGCGACGCCCCGATATAGCTATCCCTCGACTGCGGCGACGCTCGCAGCGGCGTCGAAAGCTACACCGCTTTCGTATGTTTCGCGCCGCGACGACGCTCGCCACGTTACGCCGATGCGTCGTTTTCTCGTCCAGAGAAGTTCGGCTAGAAGTACTTTAACTGACGTCTCTCTGTCGGACGTTACCTTGGCTCGTTTGCGGTCGGGTTTACGGATCGCATAACGCTGTCTCAAAGGGAGAATGAGGTTTTCAATTGAGGATCTGCTTCGCGCGTCATTGCGAGCTTGTAACCATTGAAAGGGTAGTTTCTCGTGGTTCTGCGTTACGCGGCAATTCGACGGCGTAAAACAAAGTTTCACCGTTGTACAAAGATGTTTTTATTTAATATTAAGCGATTTTTATTCTCAAAGAACGCTCCTCCGTTTCGCGATGTCGACGTCCGCGAGCGCGCCAAGCCCTGACTGATCGAGTAATGAGAACAGCCGGCTTTAAGCCGCAGAAGAGACGCTTGACGTCGGCTGGCCGGAGATGCACATACATGCACACTACCGTCACTTCGGCCTTGACCTTGCTCGGCGGATGCATCGCTCGATATGCCGCGCGATTTCGGCGCTCCGCGGAATTTCGGCGTGTGCGCCGAACGACTGTTCGCGAAGACGCGTGTCAATCATTGTGGATCCTCGCGGCAACGCACAACAATCTAACCGACGGCAGAAACAAGATCGTTTGTATTAGCGTCTAATTAATAACGCGAGTGTTGCAATCTAAATCAAGACCGGAAACGATCTTGTGGCGCGACGTGAATTGCGCGATAGGTAATGCGGTTAAGATAAGAATTTATTGCGGCCGGTTTGCGTAGCAAAAAATTTATCAGGGTCTTGAGTGTAGCTTCTGTCTGACAAACGATCCGCGTAAAGCGGATCGTCTGTTTGCGGAACAATAGAAAGAGAAAAAGAGGGAGAGAGAGAGAGAGAACTTGCTTACTCAAGCCATCTTTTCCTTTTGCGCTTATCTCTCGTGCCTCTCACAACCGTCCGACGTGCATCAAGATCTCGCGGCTTACCCCTAGACATTGTACGTTGTCGCACGGCGCAAATCCGCTCGGATATAAAAATTGTTGGCCCGAGCATTGCATTTGCGTGCGCCATAACTTGCATTCGACAATGCTCTTACGGATAAATTTTTCTCCCACATTTGTTTCTGACAATCTAAAATTAATGAAATAATTTTTTATTTAGAGTTTGCAGAACTGGGACACTTCTGCCCGTTGATGTGAGTTTGCTTCGTCGATAGAGAACATAAATAATTGAACGAAGGGATACATACACATATACACATACACATTTGAAATCTAGTTGATTATATTAAAATGTGTGTGTATGCGTCACACGAGAAATCATGTATATTTACGTAACGATAAGGTACGGTGAAACGATAAGAAACGATCTGCCCATCTCCTCGTAAGTAATAAACTAGTCCCTGACTGTTTGATGAAAGAACTCCATTATCGCACTATTCAAAACATCGGAGCAAATAGGCGATGAGATAAGAAAAATCACTCTCGAAAAAATTACTCTCCATATCTGTATTTTTTTTACACGTTATTCTTCTACAGTTGTTATGATTATACACTCGTAATGTGACAACAAAAAAAAATAAAAGAAGTGAATGGATTTTTTCTTGATAAAAATATATTTGTCAGATTATTTCCTGAAGGTCTACAGCACACTTAATGTCAAGTATCATTAAACACACTTGTATTACACGTTGAACGAGATAATAAAGACGTGAGATTTGGTCGTCTCCTTTATTTGTCACACATTTATTCATTCTGCACGCGCGTGCGCGCTCGCAATTTTTTTAGATTGTATTCTGGAATTTTTTCTCGCGAGATTAAATTTTCAGAAAATAAATTTTTCAAACTCGCCGCAAAATCGAGGAACAACGATAATAGCGAGCCACAACCTCGTTATATATATATTTTCCTGCCGCCTCCCTTTGTGTGAGAGCTCTCTCTCTCTCTCTTCCTCTCTTTCCCGTCTCACTTCTCCGCTAAACTCGCTGTTCGTGTCCAGGCGCGGGTATCGATTTTACGTTACGCCACGTGCAACCTTGGATTGTCGCGTTTTTCGACACCTGCGACGGGATGATAATCGCGAGATCGTTTCCGCGTTTGCATCGACGTGGCGACTCATCCCTATGGAGAAAGGCACGGGGACGTGAAAGTGACACAGGAACGCGGTGAAGTCTGACATTACTCGCTTCGCGAGTAATTACGCGATTCAACTATACTACGCGCACGTATGAGTGATCGATATCGCAATTACAACATCGAGTCTGTAATTCCGTCGTCATTAATATTCGTGGCGAACAAACGTCGGCCGAATGGCGCTTTAATGAAGGAGGCAACATTGATCCGAGTCAGCCGCGCCGCGCCGGCCGGCCAGACGCCGCGGGACCGTACACGCGGCTCGGATTCCGAATTCACTCCTCCACGCCCGCCGCCGGCTGCGTGACGATTGTACGCGGCATTACCGCGGGCTTTATTCTGTGGAAATTAGCCTGCCGAGTATCATTCTCCGTACGGCGTTATATTATTCCCGCCTACGCGAGAAGTCGCGTATAGGGAGAAAGGGTTGTTCACGCGCTCTACGGGAGCAACCCTTGCCGAGCGTAGCTTGTAGCGAGGCACGCAATCGTATAACGTACGACATTTCCCGTACTCCATAATTTAAAGGCCATTCTGAATTACTCGCGTCGACGGACACCGTGGACTTTTCATCAGATTAGCTTGGTACGTGTATATCAACGGCGCTTTCTCTCTGTCCTGATGCGAAAGAAAATCGAAAATTTATTTAAAGAAGAAGCTTTTTTTTTCGATTTTGACGCTCGGAATTATTTCAATAGATCGTCAAAATCCGCATAATTCACAGAGATCCTGCAATATATCAAAGAGATAGAAAAGAATCGCAAAGACGAGTACACCCTTGCGCGCGGTAATACTTACGTAGAGTGACAAGTTTCCGTTTCGCGGCGAATCCTCTTCGAATGTATATTGACAAATGTACGCGCCGTGTGTCTAGCTTTATTTCGCGCGAATATCAAGATAAACGCATTTCCTGATAAAATCAGATACGCGATTGTAAAACCCATTACTTTACTACATTTCTGAGAGAACCACCGGGCGGATGGTTTCGCCTCCCGATGATCAACTTTTCTTCAAGCCTGATATATTCTTTTTGATTATCTCAAAGAACGCGAGAGAGTCAATAAAGGTACACGCGAATTCGAATTATCTTATTTCCTTGTCTCTACTACCAGCAAGATCGGAGAAGTGGAGAACGTTTATCACACCGGCGAACAACGTTGCGGCGCGTTATACCCTTCTTACGTTATTTACAAGATATACCGCGCGCACATAACGATGTCTCTGTGCATCGCTCGATGATTCGAAAGAAGTAACAACCCGGTCGACTCAACGAGAGTTTGCGTTAACGGAGCCCCGTTTCGTCGCCCCCGTTTTCCGTTCCCCTCGATATAAACGCGACGAGGGTGCGCGAGGATTCCACGGGAGTGGCGTGGAAACGGCGAGGGGAAATATGACGGGAGACGGAAGGGAAAAGAGGAGAGCGCTGAAAGTAACGATACTTACGGAAATGTTCACGTTTTCTTTTTGGCGTTGAAACGACGACGACGACGTTGACACGTCGCGGAATTTTCGCTTATCGATGATATTCGACGTTTTGACGTCGAACGATGAAATAATACTTCCCGCTCCTCTTCTGCCTCTCTTTCTTTCATTGCATAATAAATGTGTCTTTGGACGTAAGCGCCATTTATATGTAACAGTAACGATCTTGACGTTCCCGTCAGAGAAATGGAGAAAACGGCTCAGACATAAAAGACTATCTTCGCTTTATTTATATTTAACGACGTTCTCTCGAGTTCGTTAACTCATTCAATCAAAAGTACCCGTTTCCCTTCTAATTGGAATTTATTCCCGGCAGTAGCCCGCCCTAAGTCACGTATTAGGGTTTATATTGAGACGTTCTGGGATATATAAGAGAGAAAGGAACGTTTGTGAATGTGTTCTCGCTATTCGGTATCTTTCACGTTCGTAATAATACGCGCGCGTCGCAGATAAGCGCGTCGCGCTAAATTCGCGCGATTACATCGGGCAATTTTTGGATTTTCCCCGTTTCCCCGGGAAACATCGGCACCGCGCGCGATATCGCGACTAAAATGATTATTGCGACGTGGCGTCCGTTGGCGACAATCAGCTGAAAACCAAACGCGGGGATCGATCGCATCGAGATTTTACGATAAATTTATGATCCGCCGCGACACGGTCGGCGCGCTGCGATAACTCGCAGCGAATATTCCCGAATGGATCGTAATTAAGATGTTAAACAAATGCCGAGCGCCGATGGGTTATTAATTAGCCGCTATTCATTCGCGCGATCGCGTTCCCATGAATTCGAAATGAGATCGCGTCTCGTTGTCCTCTTCCTCCTTCTACCATCCTCTCTCACCTCCGCCCTCCTGCTTGCGAATTCCAAGTTGCGGAATTCTACGGTATAATACGGCCGGATGCGGCCGCATCTGACGAATGCAAAGGCAGCGCCGCACTGACGAATGAAAGGAGAAATTGACCGGGCGCGGACGAGTCCGCGAACTTCTCTCGATTAACTGCTCTCTTCTCTCTCTCTCTCTCTCTCTTGCTCTTTTTTCCCCGTCCTTTGATGAGATTTCTTTTGCGCGGTACAATCAGGTGCATTTCAGCGCCGACCGATCTGCTGCCTGAAACGCATCGATCTTGTCGCGTTTCTCACCCCCAGAGACCTTTCAGATTTATTGTAGCGTAAACAGGAAAGGATCATTTACCCCTACGAAAGGATCATTTACTCATACACGCGCGCGCACATTGTCAAAGGCACACGCGCGTACATATATCCACTTTTGCCGTTCGCGTTCACGCGCGACGTGCGTGTCGGTCGTTCGTGAGATTTACTTACAACGCGAATATTTGTCAGTCGCGAGACCAACTGGAAATTCACCGCCGGCTCGTGCCGGCGCCGCATCGCATCGGTAATTCGATCAGGGAACGAAGCGCGCGCGGTACACGCAATTAGTTTATTCGGGAAACACGGTACAACATGTGCAAAATGCGTTCGGCATTTGAATTTAAATTCCGCACGACATATAAACGCGGCCGCATAACGCGCCGCCGACGCCCCCCTCCTCGATAAAACGACAGAGGTACACTCGTTTGCCGATGGTATTTAATGGACACACGCGGCTAACGTAGACGCAATAATGATGCAAGTTATTTATATTCGTGACGAGAAATCCGAGTTCTAAATTAGAACGCGGCGAACGCGACAAGGATTTACGGTCGAGTTCGTCGCGCGTAGGATGACGCGTGTGTATACGTGTGTATATATATATATATATATATATATATATATACACACATATACAATAACGCGACGAAATATAACCGACAAAATCGCCGAAACACCGCGGAGTCTTCGCGATTATTGCGTATCAGGTTTAAATCGTCGTAATGGGCGCGACGAAGTCCGCGATGAAAGCAGGAACGGGGGATTCGGGTTTAATTAAAATTGATAATCTCGGGGGATATTACGTAAAGAGCCGGGGAGGAAAGAGAGAGAGAGAGAGAGCTGCATTGAGAATCGAACAACCCCCCTTTGGTAGTTACTCGGAGAATTGCGAGGAACGCCCAGTCTGCAGTCGAGTTTTCTATCCGGCATGCGATCGACGTGCAACCAACGCACGGCCAACGCAACGTCGACTGATAACGCCAACGCACTTACGCAATCACGTTTTCCTTTACACAACACACGCGATCCTGTTCACATTCTACTATCTTATATAATATTATACAGGCGACCGTGGACGACAGCAGCGATAAATAATCAAGGATATCCGTACTTTCTCTCTCTTTCTCTTTCTCTCCCTCTCTCTCCCTCCCCTCCCGTACATGATACCCACTCTCATATAAGTTATGCTCACACATATATCTGGAGGATAAAAGCTGAACAATATCCATGCTGCAGACAACTCGTGTCCATTGTGCTTCAGTGTGTTATGTTAACCGCTGCAAAAAGTATTGTCTTTTCTCCGCTAGGAAGTAGGACAAAGAGAGACAATACTTTTAAGCAAACAGATGAGCAAACATCCTGAGTGATCGGCCCTTTTATTAAAAATTTTTATTCTTGTTGTCTTATTATGTAGCGCACATGCGTGCACATCAAGGTATTTGCGTGCAAACATAAATATTTGAAAAACCAACAAGGCGAGATTAAAGTACGTGCAAGAACTTATTTGCAATTAATTATCGGATACTGCGGAAGTAGTTAGTCATTATCAATCAAAGTCCAAAAAAAAAGAAAGAAATTTGACAGATATATATATATCTCGAATAGGAAAAATCGGAGCGCAATATTGTCTACCATCGCGAATGGGTATTTTCCAAGTGAAGCACAACGGATAACAACGAACGACGAGACGTACAAACAGACAAACGAATAGCCAGATAGGTGGTCTGATAGAATATCGATAGCGGCATCTCTCGAAAAAGAAGGAAGGAAATACATCGGCGACAAGACCGCCCGTCACGTAGCAGAAGTGCGTTCATCCCTGCGAATGCGTACACACGCACACACGCGGAAAGGGAGGAACAACGTCGCGACGCAGAGGGGCGACGTCGTCTAAGGGGGAGACGACGAGGGTACCGGCCTATCGGGGCCGACTCGGGGTTGTTCGGAATCTATCGGTGGACCAGATTTTACTCGTGTGTGCACGCACATTCACCCCCGCGACGCGGCGTCGCGCCGAGTGGGTGCGTGTCGTTTTCGTTGTGTGCGCACGTACGCTTTTACATGTGTGTGCAGTGCGGACGTGCGTGTGTCTTTCGCGTGCGTACGTGCATCCCGTGCACACAAGACACACTTAAAAACGACGCCGGGAAACGCAGGCGCGGTCTCGCGTTCTCGTGCTCGCGCATTCGCGACGCGCGGCGCCGCGCGCGCGTCTCCGGCGCCGTCGTCGTTGCTTCGCGAGGAAATTGATTCTGCGCGAAGCGCAACGAGGGGGTTCCAGCAACGACGGAGCCGACCGTGCACCACCAGAGAGAAGCCGGGCTCGGCGGGTCGCGCATATCGCTTGGCGAAGCAAAAATCGGACCGGGTCTTGATCGAGTTCGCGTTCGCGTAACAACGGGCCGACGTTGACGACCTCGATCGCAGAGCGTATTATGTAAAGGGGGATGTTGCTCTCGTCGTCGTTTCCCTACATCGTTACGATATACGCGCGCCGTGTTGGTTGTCGCTGCTGCTGCCGCTGCTGCTGCTGCTGAAGTACCGCACACAGGAGAGAGGCCGCGCGGAGAGGTGTCTCTCCGACGACGATGCGAAGAGACGCGTCTGACGAGACGACAACGGACGACGAGCGAGGATCGCAGACGATTCCGGTGAGACACATAGACGAGCACGACGAGCACCGACAGAAGCATCCATGGAACTAAAAATCTTGCTGTGGATTCACATCGTAGGTGAGTTTGTCATCTTGACGCAACGCCTTTTCTTCCTCCGCGCTTTCTCTCCCTCTGTGTCCACACTGCAAACAACCCTCTTGTTATATACACACGTCGTCGGCACGCGCGTAGCACGGAGAATTTCCCTCCGACCGCTCACGTCCGGTGCTCACAATGGTGCTCTCGTGCTCGTGTCATCGACGGCATGCATGCAACCCTCGCGTCATTCTCCGCGCGCTTCCGTGTCTCAAATCGCGTGTCTTCCCGCTATGCAACCCCGCTATGCTGCCTGGCCTCTCTTTACACGTTCATTGCCCCGATAGACGGTGTATCCGGTATAGATCCATCCTTGCAATCGTTCCTTGTCGGCCGTGTGTGTGCCGAAGTGGTGTTGCTGCGCCCGATGATTATCGGGTAAATGTGAACAGGTCGCGCGTAGAACAGCCGTTTCACTCCCGCTATCGCGGAATGGACCAATTTCGCGTGATCAACGGCGTCTCGTGAGTTTGATCATTGCGAAACAACATTTTGTTTTCCCGAGAAATTCGTGACTCGTGTGGTACAACTTGAGAAACGGAAAAACTTTTACCTCGCGCGCGGTGTCTCGACTGTGTTTTCGACTCCCGCGTTTCTTGTCTCTCCCTCGTTGCCCGCAACTTCTACGTCTTACAGGTGAGGTAGACAACAAATACCGATATATTACCCGAATCTATTACCCGAGATCTCGTTGTTTCTGAATCTTCGGATCGAAACGACGACTAGCTAACGATCGCGACGTTAATTGAACGATCAAACAGGAAAATATAAACGTTGTCTCTCATCGTGAGACAAAATTTGCGGCAGATTTTCTCAATCTTTTCTCTCGAACGTAATTTTGATTCAAACGTCGTTACATTAATATGACCGAGTAAAACGCAGATGTAACTTTTACATGTTACAAATGTATGTATGAATTTTATATCACATGTAAAAAGATTAGTCGTCCCTCTTTCTCTCTCTCTCTCTCTGTCTGTCTGTTTGGCTGATTTTTCGCAGAAATATGCGCGTTAAATCATCACACTAAATGTAACCTATTTATTACAAGCGAATTGAATTAAACCGCCGATGTTGAACGTGATTAAATTATTATGTATAATTTATTAAAACACTCACGCGCGCGCGCGCGCGCGCGTGTGTGTATGTACACGCCGGTGAGGAATAAAAACATCGACTTACACAGGGCGCGACTGTGCATCTCCGTCATTAATTTAGTTGTCTCGTAAAATGTATACTCAAGCGCTTCCGCCGCGGCCGGAGCCTTTTTCGCGGTATCAGAAACTTCATCCATTAGAGATATTAGCGTAAAGCACATGCATATACACGGCGAGGGTTGCGCTGAAACTGCACGACGGCGGCGGCGGCGGCGGCAAGCGAACATAACGCGCGCGGAGGCACACACGTCGCCGTAGAGAACATCGGGGGCGTCTGTCGGATTGTCGGGATTTCCTGGCGCGGAGAAATGGATTTTCGTCCCGACGTATAAAACGGCGAAAGGCGTTGCTTAGCGAAGGGAACAAAAGGAACAAAAACTGTTAAGCGGACGACACATACGTTTCTCTCGGCGTCCCGGAGACAAGAGATCCTTTTCGCCGCGAGCGTTGAATCAACGGGAGATAGAAAGAGATACCCGGCCGCGGACGCACGAGATAACGGCGGACGACGTTGATGACGTTGGGTCGTTGCCCGTTCGCGCCGTAAAACGCGCGGGCGTTCCCCGTATAATAGGGCACATTAACGAATTTGACGAATTCCCGCCTCGGGAACGGCACACTCGCGTTAATGACGGCGATTGCGAGTTTACGACACGCGAGGCGGCGAGTCTTCTCTTCTTGCGCCAGTCGTCGCTTCTCCACACGCTGCTCGGACAATTTGGCCTAACGTCGTCCGGTGCGAGCAATCTAATTACTCGATCATCGCTAGAGAAATTGTTGCGGCGCAATTCAAAGACGCAATAACGATGACGACTCTTTCTGCAAAAGAGAAATCGCTTTGCCACCATCGTTGCACAAAGAGTATCTCTTTTGCTTTTTTCTTTATTTAAAAATAAAAAACACATCTGGCATTAATAGGCGCAGCTCTTTGAAATTAATCTTCTTACGCAAAAATCACTTTAACGCGCGAATGTGTCCTTGATATCTAATTTGTATCACAACAGCATCGAGAGAAAATGCCGCGTTGATTTCTTCTTCGTCGTTTCGTTGCATTTGCGTCACATAAGGTTATCAATCAGTCACGAGATCATATATCCGAGAATACTGATAAGAAGCTTATCCCGCTCGGTGCGTAATCGAAACCGCCGGATTAAAACCAGCGATTTTAGATTCAATATTTTAGACTCAAAGAGACGCGCGCGATTTTCGATGATTTTGTTCTCTCGTTGCTGTGAACGCAATATACATATATATATATATATATAATATGTAATCCATTTGTTGCCGCATATCCACGTAGCGTGGAAAAAAATAAACGAAAACGGAGAATTGTAGCAGTTTTGAATCCTCGCAACAAATAATAAAGCGTTTTGATAAATGAGGTGTGGAATAAACTCCACGCGACCGTTTACGTCATGAAAAGCTGCGGCGACTGTGACGTCAACAAACATCTCGCTCCAAAGAGAACTTCGAACTAATCATTGAATGGACATGAAATCGGATATATTTTAAAGCAAAATGTGTGTGTGTGTGTTTTTTTTTCGCTCGTCGTTAGCTCCAAAATGATTAACGATAGGTACCATTTTATTCGCGCGGAATCTCTTCGCGCGAAGATATCTTTTCCCTGTGAGAGCTGGCGAATTACACGAGAGATAAATTTTTTTTTTCTTCCATTCAGAAGAAAAGACAGAACTTCCCTGTTATCATCGTGAACCATTTGTAATGCAGATAACTATGCGCCGCGCGCGTCCAAAAATTGTTCCCTCACATATTTCGCTGTTTCGCTTTTATCGGCCGCATCGAAAATAGCGAGAAAATCAAATAACGTTTCGAAATCGCAAATCAAAGTCTCGCAAGATCGACGGCACGTTGCACCTCTCGCCGCGGTGATTTCGTTCGATTGTGCAGAAAAGTCACAAAAGACAAGTCCTTTATTGGAGTACACACGAGAAGTGCGAAGTGTCGAAGCGCATAGCGATACGGGCTTCTCTCTTCTATCTATCTATTCATATATCTATCTATCTCTCTCTTTATCTCTGTGCAAATGCGATTCATCGCGCCGCTTCGCTCAGCAGCTAATTAAGCCGATCGCTCTACCGAACGTCATATCCGTTCTGCGGATCCGTTCGCGCGATTGTCCGATCGGGTGAAATCGCATTCACTTGCGCGAGAGCTGTCCGTTAAACCGAGCGTATCGTCATTAGTGTAAGCGAATTAAGCCGAGCTCGCTTCGATACCATATATCGGCATCGAATATTCCGAATCGAGCGGCCGTCCTCTCGAAGAGACTGATATTATCCACTTCATCGTTGAGAGTATATTCACGTCAAAAATGAAAATGACAAACTGTTTGCGTATCGTGTTACACTCTCATTTTTTTCTTCCTATTCTCCCTAACAAGGGACTAATAATGCGACGTTTTAATGTGCTCGTATGCCTTTCCTGTGCAAAAAAAAAAACAAAAAAGTCCCGTAATCCCGAAAAGGGCGACTCCATGAGAATTCCACTCGTTAACGTCGCACGGCCGCCCTCGTAATCGTCGCCCATCCCACGAGTGCGTCTCTTTGTGCATGCTTATCTGTTCCTTTCGCGCGACAGCACGTTCGTCACTTTCAGTCGTCGACACGACGACGATAGACTCCCCGAATGCCGGGCGTCTCGAGCGAGAGACGCGGGGACCGTCAATTTAAACTCCCGTTTTCTTCTTTCACCTCTCTCGTCCGATGGCGGCTTGTCGCGAATCCACTTTTTACTAACGACTAACGACCAACCACGTCACGAGAGGGAAAGAGGAAGAGAAAGGAGAGTGTGTGCCCTCGTGGTTTTGTAACTAAATACCCGTAAGCTCCGCAAAGTGCCTCTAAGCGGAGGTGGGGGACACATTACGCTCCGGGATCGTCACACTCTTTAATGCACTGGGGCAATATTTCCCTACAACTTCCCGTCGTCTCCTCCTTATCCGTCTCCGCGAAAACTTTCATCCAATCCGCGAAACTGCGAATAATCGGATTATATCGATTCCAAGAAAAGAAACATTAAGAACCTCTCTCTATCTTTCTCTATCTCTATCTCTCTCTCTCTCTCCCTCTGACGTAAAGTTTACTGAAAATGTCATCATGTTAACATGATTATTTGTTACGTGTATCACTATGAATCATTCACACGGTCGGAAGTTTTTCATATCACAAACGACATTTGCAAAAATAGACGTTTACGACGTGCATGTATAATATGCAACTGATGATCACATCGCTAATTAAATACAATCACTAAATAAAGCGAATTACAGATTTACAGCTCGGGCTTTATATATTGACGTCGAAATTATACATGAGAGAGAAAAAAAAAAATCCTAAAACACCAGCAAATAAATCGTCGACAATAGAATTTCTTATTCGCACCGGCTCTGAAAACGTGCGAGAGACGTTTATAGATTTGTCGCGTAATCCTTTATGCAAAACGCGCGGCATAAATAGCCGGAGAATGGAAGCGTCTCTTATCCCGAAGGGGTGAACGTTCCTTCGGGAATATATATCGACACGTGGAAATTTCCTGCGGAGCGCGCCCGCAGAGAGAGCGACGAAATTCGCTCGGAAACGCGTAAGTTCTGTTTCTCGCGTGTGAGATCGATCCCATTTCTCGTGAATGAGAAAATTTGGTCGGCACCGCGAGAAGCGAGAAGCGAGAACGGAGAAGGGGGATCGGAGGATATGGGAAGCGAGGACGGTAGCGCGGGGTAACGCGGGAAGGATTCTATTCGCGATCGATAGAGAATTCCAGCGGCCGGTGTGGGATTCGCCGAATAATTTCGAATCCGCGGATGAGAGAGGCGAGCTCTCGCGTAGCCGCCCGTCGTTATTATAAGAAACTATTTCTCTCGCGAGGTCGGCGTATTATATTCGCGGTTGCTTTCATTACGAGGGGACTTCCGCGTAATGACGATGTCGCTCTCTGATAACCAGTCGGGACTGTGTGTAGCTAGCCGTCTGCCTCGAAGCCCAGTGGTTCACAGGGTCTCTCTCTCTCTCTTTCTCGCCGAGGATCATTTCATCTAATTAAAAGATGAGGCTTCTCCTTGCGACTCTTCTACGTGCCGCGCGGAACCGGAGGAAATATAATCTTTAATTAACGTTAATGTATCTTTTTCCATCGGATCTTTTTATTTCTAGCCGTGTTCTAGCGGCTAAATTCAGGTGACGCGGAAACGAGGCAGTTTTATAAAATTTCAACGAGTCATCGTAGGCGATGCGTACTAATTCCTTTTGCGTTTCAGTTTTCTTCATTTTTTTGTCGAGCGAATATTATCAATTTGAAAAAGCGAGATGATATTTAGCGAAGTCGAGTCACGAATGCGCACCAGATCAAAGTAGACCATCGCTTGAACTTCAAAATCGATAACTATAGAATATTATGTGACGCGGCGTCTTTGTATTTCGACGCACCCCTTCTCCGCGAATGTACAAAAAAAAACCTCTCTCTCTCTCTCTCTCTCGATGTTTCGAGTGTGTTTGGGGAATCGCGCAATGTGTGTGTGTGTGTGTGCGTCCGCGAAACGTATAATCGATGAGAGAGGTATGCATCGGCGGGGCGATATTCAGCCGTCTCTCATGACATGACACGGCAGAAACTAACCTTCGGCTTTCATTTCCTCTTTTCCCCCCGGGGGCATGAGTCGAGATTCGGATCCATATACGCGGAGAGAGTTTCTACGTGCCCTAATAACTCCGCCAAGATTATCCGCTCCGATAAGCGCGCCCCGCTGCTACGCGAGAGTCGCCGAACACACGTCGTGTTCGGACTGCCGACGTTTTGACGACAATCGGGCTTACAGCGGCGGTGGTCTCTCTCCCCTTCGACGTCAACAAGACCGATAAAATATAATTAACGAACTTTTCTCTACACTCTCGTTTTTTTTTTTTTTTGCCAGGAATTTGCTCGGGTCTGCGGGAGGTGCGCATCCAGATTCCAATGGCTGTGAGAAAGGGCGAGACGGGGACGCTGAATTGTTGGTACGATACCGAGGGTGATCCTCTGTACGCCGTCAAATGGTACAAAGGAAACCAGGAGTTTTATCGTTATGCCCCGAACGAGAACCCGGCCATCAAGACTTTTCCCATTGAAAATCTGACGGTGAAGGTGAGTTTTCTCCCCTCATATCTCTCTCTCTCTCTCTTTTTTTTTCTCTTTTTCTCGCTCTCTCTTTCTCTCTCTCTCTATCTTTCTCTCACCCCCTTAACAGATGAGTTTAGAACCTCCGATTTGTCCCTCGGGCTCTTCTCGCGAGAAATCTCGTGACTCTTGCGGGACCGCGACCGGGACCTCGATCGCGGAAGCGGGAAAAAAAGCGACATCAAGAAGAAAGAGAGACAGAGAGAGAGAGAGAGAGAGCGAGAGCAAAGGCGAGGATTTATTGCGGTCGAGAAGTTGCGAATGAAACACGATAACACCGAACGCGCCGGAACGTACAGTTCCTGTTCGCTGTATACCGGTTGCCGTTCTACATATCGGCTGATCGAAGTTTTTGAATACGAGCTGTCGCCACGCGAGAGGGGTAACTGATGGCCCTCGTCGATGTACGCTGCTCGTCCCGACGTCGCGCTTTCTGCTTTCTTTCTTCCCGTCAAATTTCAGTTTTATTTTTCACTTTGTAAAATTGCAGTTTTTTTTTCTCACAACGCGCGGTGTAAAACACGCACGTGTTTTTTTTTCTTTTTTCATCGCGTTCTTATATATACTCCATTTATTAATCTAATTGATTTAATAAATTTCACAAGATTTTAATGATATTTTTAATGATATTTTTGCGCGTTGTTGATGTTTTTACGCCAGTACCTTTTTATGTAAATTGCAAAATAATTCCAAATAAATAGTTTTTTGTTTTGAGAAAATTTCGTCTTTTGAATATGTATGTTTTATTATACGCATTTTATTATATACTATTTTACCCGCTGTGAGCGGTTCGCGAATGTACGTATCGCTCGTACGTTTCAACCCAGTTAAAGCGCCGTTAAATATAATTTTATGCGCGTTATATGCACGAGAGACGCGCGCGCGATCCAGCCGAGTCCAATTTAGAATTCTGAATTTCGGACGCGAGACGGCGCCGATTATGATCAAATGATACTTGTTTAACAATCGTTCGCAAAGTGAGATATGCGACTTTATCGCAACCTCGGCGAACAGATCGTTTTACTCTCGTATCAATCATTTTTTGTTTTGTTTTGTTTTGTTTTTTTTTTTGTTTTTTTTTTTTTTTTTTTTTTTTTTTTTTATCTCCTCCTGCGTCAATTTTGCAATACGGACGTCACGCGCCGCGGGCGCTTTCCGTTCGAAATGCAATTCGAAAAGCTCAAACACCTTGCTACGATATTCATTACTAACATCGCCGATAACGAGTCGCACAACTGGCAGTCGATGTAAAACAAACCTGAAAAAAAAAAAAAAAAAAAAAAACAAACAAAACAAAACATTGCAAGTGCATCGCAAATATTTAACGCACCGGACGAGAGAGCACGAAGGGGATTCCCGTTTGGGAATAAAGCTGATGTCGAATAATCGGGTCGTCGGTCGCATGTCGCGCGATTGATGGCAGCGGATGCATTGGTCATTAGTTGAATGGAATGAATTCCCAAGACTTTTGCATTACCGTATCTCACATACGCTCACACACACACACACACACACGTGTGACGCGCACACGTGCCACGCATTTCATCTGATGAGATGAGTAGTACTCTTCCTGCGATCTCTGTGTGCGACAGCGCAGGCGGAAGGACGACAACGACGACGACAACGACGACGACGACGACGACGACGACAATGATGCTTCGCACAGCGAGACGTACGATCGTAATGAATTACCTTTGTCCGCAGAAAACCGAGAGCAACGCGACGCAAGTCGTGCTGACGAAGTTGGAATTGGAAGCGGCAGGCGAATACAGCTGCGAGGTATCAGCGGACGCACCTTCCTTCCACACGGCTACGAGGTCCGCGAAGATGAACGTTGTCGGTAAGTGTGTCTTCTCGTTTTCGCTCTTCCCTCATCCCTCGCGCGCTAATAACTTCAGACGCGACATCGGCTGCGTAAAAACACGTTACAGCGTTATTACTCGCGCGCGCAAGCAATTTGACGTGGCGCTTTACGGCGCCCGACCGTCTCGTAATATCGGACTCTGATAAGGGAAATAATAATAAGCGTGCGCGCGCGTACGCTATTTAAATCGCGTTTTCCACGACGTCGATAAAACTTTTACGATTGACGATAATTCATAAGATCGACGAAGAGAGCTCGCTCATGAAGGAGGCTCTTCACGAGAAAATAAAGAAAAGCGTCTCGTATAAGCTCCGGCGGATCTTGAAATTTACGGAGGGGTCGCGCCGAGTAATATATTTTAACGACGTAAATTGCGTGTCGCTGTTTTCGAGGTTCTTTTCATTAAGAACGTGGCAATGTCTGGTAAATTTAGCGCCGACACCGACGTTTTTCCCGCCGCACGCGAGGTGACTTTCTCTTCCTTTTTGAATATTACTGCAATGTACATATTCTCTGATATTACGTGTGTGCAAGATCTTCTCTCTTCCGGCGAGAATTAAATATCTGTTCTAATTGCTCGCGTTTCTCCTCCCTTGCAAGCACCTGTCCTCGTTCGCGAACGGAGAATATAAGAAGAAAAATATATCCGCGCGGAGTTTTTTTGAATGCGACGTGAATCTTCCGAAAGAACGGACTATTGAATTCTCGCATTTCGCGTTTGAAACAAACGACAATTTTATTCGCTTGCGTTTCATCGTCGTAAAGGCTCGCCGAAGCGCGCGAATTTACGTTCTCCCGTAAAAACAAAAAAAAAAAAAAATGGGAGAGTAATATTTCGCGAGAACACAGAGAGACTGGGGTGTGTCTGTGACACGTGTGCAGGTGCTTGTAACGATGTGCGTGCGTGTGTTCGAGGGGGGAGTAACGGTTGTACGATTTTGACGCATGCCGATGGCGAAAAACGTTCAGACACGCGAGGACGAGTCGTTCGTCGTAGAAAAGAAGAATTTTTCGAGCGACGAGAATGCCGAGGGGAGAACGTTTTACGCGTCTCCCTGATATCGACCAATCGTCACCGCGCCGAAAGTTTCGTGTTTGGAGAACGAGTCTGGTCAAACCCTCCTCGTTGAAACAACGGCGACGACGACTCGACTGCACGCGATATCATGCAATGTCTCGATCTATACGTGTGTTTATATTATACCGGGTGAGATCTGACAAATCCTCAAATCATCTTTTGCGTATTTCACTTTCTTCTCGACGATGTGAAAGCTCATTTCGTTGTCATTGAAACACATGCGAAATCGGAGGCTATTAAAAAATGACGAACAAAAATCCCGATGAAAACGATGGATATTTTATTATCGTCAGTTTTTTAATCTCGAACAAACTCAGCTCCAAGTTTCGTAATTTTAGAATACGTTACAAGAAGATTTAAGAATCTCTCGTTCGCGATATACTATATATATATATACATATACATGTATATATTTTCAGTAGTGAGAAAAAGTTTGCTCTCTCTAAATTTCTCAAGAAATGTACATATATGTATATACATAGGAAAAGGTGGGTTTACTTTGGGGAGGCCTAGAGAAGAGCTATAGCTTAGATCTGAAACGCTGTGTGTATATAACGCCGGATATATATCCTTGCCTTTGCAGAATTGCCGTCTGAGATGCCGTCGATACAGGGACTAAAGAGGAAATACCGCGTCGACGAAACGCTGCGTTTGAACTGCACATCCGACCGGAGCAAGCCCGCCGCGAATCTCACTTGGTATATCAACGATCGGCAGGTATGCTCTAACTGCTAATGATGGTAATGCGCGCGCGGTTAGACGAGGGTATCCCGAAAAGGTTGGGGAACACAGACGGAGAGGGGAGATTGGAGGATCGGATACCTCTATTTAGTTTACCACGGCTTTGATCCATTATCCCTGATCAAACGTCGGAGACAAGGAAGCTTATGGGATACGTCTCTCGAGGAGAGAGAGAGAGAGAGAGAACGCAACGTTCCGAAGTTGGGCGAGTGAGCACAACATTCGGCGAAGCGTGGAAAATCATTCAACTGGAGTCTGATCCTCTGATTATTTTCACTAATACTTTCACGACCCGTTAATTGGGAACTCGAACACTAAAATGGAATAATTCAAAGCGGGAGTTCGCGCTCTCTTCCTATTTCGAAAAGATGTCTTTGCATTAGAGATGAAATTCTGAAAGTTTTATCGCGAATAGCGGCTTTAAGGCTTTAAATATTTTTCATCGTTTTCGCAGTTTTCAGAATAGCTTCTATAATCACTCTACATTAATGCATCCATACGTAAATTATTCCGTGCCGAGCGCATAATCCTCGAGTAAAAAGAAAAAAAAAAAAAAATAAATAAATAAATAAAGTCTACCTCTCGAGAATTTATACAACACACAGCGGGAGGCATTAACAAAGCAGCGCGAATATAGTTTTTCATCCTTGTACATATACGCTATATATTAGTATTTATTCTGTCCATGTTATAACAGTCCATTAGGTCGCGAACTCGTTGGCTCCCATCGAATCGATTAATGAAACTTAATTGATGTTTGCTTTAAGATTAAATATTTGAATTTGAATTCATTTACCTACTTCCATTAGAGGCACATATGCGTGTGTGAGTATAACATACGAACGATTAAAAAAAAAAAAAAACCTGTTCTTATTATTATATTTTTGTCGGCTATATGTAACATATTTATTTTCTCGAACAATGTTGGCCGGGGTGTCTGTACACATTTAGATGTCACGTAGTGCAATCGATGCAGCTGATATTTAGTTTTTTCTTGTTTCGATTTTCTTTTAGCCTCTCAAGTCGTACGTTCGTACATACAGTCCGAACAGCCTCGACACGAACGACTTGGACGGGCAGATCTCGCAGATCGGGCTCCAGTTTCTGGTTACGCACGATCACTTCATCAGCGGCAAGCTGAAGATACGTTGCAGCGCGTCAATATACGACATTTATTGGCAGAGCACGGAAGTCAGCGCCGAAGAGGATCGGCCGAAGGTGACGCTTTACGAGCCGCCGGCCGCGACCATCGTCGGCATCAACTACTTGCAGCCACCGCCGAATTTTCAGACCGGTCAGAAGAAGCCCGACGGGCAGGTTGGGGTGAGAGGTAAAGTTTTGTCGTTTTCTCGAAGACGACTCGGTAAACACATATCATCACTCGAGAAGGGTCGGTCGCCGGCTATTTATCGAAATTCGAGACGTTCCCGAGAAACCGTAGACGCGGATTAATATTTGTTTGCAAATCGTTTTATTTTATAAGAAGCTCGAACAACATCCGGCGATCTGACGAAAGCTCTTTGAGCGGGAACGCATTAAAATCGTCTTCAGTCATGTACGAAACATTCGGAGAGCGACGTTGATCCGCTATCTCTAAATTCCATAGAAGTTTGTGCGATTGAGAATTAAGAATAAAAGATAAAAATAAAAAAAAAAAAAATAAAAATAAAAAATAAAAAAAAATAGAGATATTACCGGATTTTTACATTGTCCTGTGTTTTGGTGATTTTTTTCAGTGTTGGGATCGTCCGCGGTGAATCTGCGACCGTTGGCGAGACTCGTTTTGGAATTGTTTGCGCTTCTTCTAATCGCCATTCGTTAAAAAGCATATAGTGCATCGTTCGAGAAACGCGCTTTGGAACACTTTGCGTACGTCAACGTGCTTGTGAGAAGAGAACGAGAAGGAGGAGGAGGAGTAGGTTGAAGTGCAGGAGAGCTCAAGAGACGCGCTTTGTGCAATGATGACGTTTCCTCTACGGGATCGCCTCGGATCGCCACGACAGCGGCAATATACACGATCGGGAGTGAATACAGGGAACCTCCTTCAAGGGCCAACGTCAAGGTGGTGAAACGTGAAAGGCTCGGTTCGAATGGCAGAGGGAATGGAAGTGACGGGGCGCGACTGTGAAGAGGAGAGTTCGATCCGCTTCGGGAGAAAGGTCGAGAGAAAGGAAGACTCGAGGACGATACCGAGAGAAAGAGATAAAGCTCTCCCGATGAGATGATTTATTCGACGTTCATTCTCATCCGATGATCAACGAATGTCCAAAAAAAAAAAAAAAGCACTACAGCGACGACAAACGACGCGGCTGGATACTCGCGATATATAAATATATACATATATATACATTCGGGAGATATTTTATTATTATTAGACCACATATATATATACTTGCTTCCTTCCAGCGGGATAATATGTGTTTGCAAATGTGTAGGTATATATATATATAAAATATATATGTATACATATATATAGTATGTTTCGTCGCATAATTTTTTTTTCGTACTTTTATATATAACTCAGAAGGTGACTAACGTAGCATGAATGTACGTGCGTATTTCTCGACAGCAGACAAAAGTACACACATATAACGCAGAACTACATAAGATACATAATGCAACGCGTACACACACACACACACACGCACATATACACACACTTAGTCTACGCACACACGTATGTGCAGGAGAAATACGAATACGTAAAATTGCACAGAAAATACAACATGTATACACACACACATATACACACACGGAAAAAAAAGTTTTAGACAGCTAAGAAAGAACTCGCTTAGGCCTACTGAATTTTTTGTTACATCAACAAAACGTTCTGTTAGTGAAACCAAATATTCAGTAGGCCCCCATAGCAAGTTTTTTCTTTGCTATCCACGTAGCAACTAATCTTCTTGCTTTTCCGGCAAAAAACTTTTTTTTCCGTGCATACTTTCTCTCTGTATGAATAACTGATAAGTAAACGTGTTGTTCTTGAGAGCGTTGCGGCCCGCCTAAGTATTTTACAGTGTGCGAGATGATGTACCTGAATCGGATATCCGCGCGAACTTCTTTCTGTGTTGCTACTTAGGAAACTACGTACTAATGAAGCCAGCGCTCGGATTGTGCGCGCGTTCGCAATTCGTGATTCAGTGCAATATTCATGTGAAACAGTGCGGAGGCAAAAATCATTCATTCGACGCGCGATTAAAGTTGTTCGTGTTGATTTGCCAGCCGAGCAGTTTTTCGACAAGACTGTGAGAGATCGCAAATCATCACGAACCGATCCGACGTTTTTTTTTTTTTTTTTTATCGCGCCGTGCGTAAATTCGTAATTTTTGTGCGTATATTTACAAACAATCAACTGCGAATAGTGTGGCAGGTTTTACACATGCGAACAACGAAATTCTCACGAATTTTAGTGAATCACGAATTGCAAATTGCCGATCGCGCATAATCGGACGTTAGCTCAAGCGAGGAACAGATGTGCTATATTATCGAGTTATATATATATATATATATATATATATATACATATATATATATTTCGTTGTCGTTTATAATATATACACATATGTGTTATAAACGACAACAACCACTTTGTGTATCTTGATCATTCCATTTTATTGAAGCGTGTAATTTATTGACGAGGCTGATTTAATTGATGTACAGTACGACTTGTGAAGTTTATTATAAATTCATTTAACTAAATTGTCATCAATGTGTTTCTACAATCAATCCCTTACACATCCTCGTATTCAAACCGCGCACTCTCTAATATATTTCCTTCGCTGCGCAAACAGATCCTACTCTCTCTCTCTCTCTCTCTGTGTGTATAATATTCCATTCATCAAATACGATGACATCATAAATTATATCGCCTGCAGTTTCCGCTTATCGATATTCGATATCAATTTTCATCCCAAATGCGTTTCCGGTAAATATTTTCGATATTCCTCTGCTGTAAGTCGCAGGTTCAAAGGATATTTTAGCAGCATCTTGTTTTATGTCAATATAAGGCAAAAACGTCATAAAAAAGAAAATGTCAAATGATTTTGTTCGTATCTTACTTTGTGCATTGACATTTCGATAAGTCTCACGTGACGTATCGGCGCTAAAACATAAATATAAAAATAAATGCGGTAATATAGTAAATATTACAATGGATACAAACGGTGTAACGATTATTCTGGTACGGTTAGAAGGAGCAAAATTTCATTGTTATCGGTATTTTATTTACGCACTATATCGACGGTGTAATTATGTTTTCTCTACGCTATATATCCAATATCTCTATTCATTTTAAACGACCCGGATCGACGTTAAAACAATGTAGCTGCATAAATAAATAATGCATCGCGTACAAAGAAGAGGTCTCGCCGCGCGATGGCTACCGCGCGCGGTGAAAACGCGCGATTTTTGCGGACATTAAATAAAATATTGTTTCACAAAAGCATGCTTTAATTTTCTCGATGAATCGAGAGAGAGAGAGTGGGAGAGAGAGAGAGAGAGAAGAGGAGGAATGCCGCTTTGCGGATTATTATATTTGTTTATGCATGACCGGTACGTGTATATACACGCCGGTAATGTGATAACTCAATTATTGCTCACCGTAATGTTTACTCTGTGCCATTATGCGAAACGTATAACTACACGATTATTGATACTTGCGTGTTCCACGTTTGTAATTGAACGTCGAGTCAAATAATTCCGAGATACTGACTTCTCTGCGGTCGTAGTAATTATACACATTCTTTCTCATCCTCTGCGTTTTTTCAGGATTTCTGAGAATTCAGTCGCAACATTTCTAACTCTCTCATTAATTTTTAATTAAAACGTATTTAATAATTTAATTTTTGATATCGCACAGCGTCTCTCTTTCCGTGTGAGACGCGACAAATTGCGGCAGAGTATTTCTGAAGATAGCACTTCGGTATTGCGCGCAGTTTTTTTTATTTTATTTTTTTATTTTCGAGAAAGAGAGAGAGAGAGAGAGAAAATTAAACACATAATTCAATTCACATGTTTTTATATTTTAGTAACATTTATATGCAAATGCGCAAGAGTCGAGAAGCGTACAATGGGACGGGACTTCAAAAAGCCTTCAGAATTCTCCTCTTTTATCTCATAAGCATCTTGTTGAGTTGAAGTGCTCGCACAATGCAGCAGTAACAATCTGTAAATGTAATTGTTCATTGACCGAAGTGCTTCTCCCGTAAGCATGGAAACTTGCAGTTTTCAAAGCGTTTGCAAAAATACATAGTGCTCCGGTAACGAAGAGACTGGATTCTTTTATGTTTACTCGGCCGAAAGTTTTTCAATTTTTCGTTTTCATGGTTTTTTCTGTCCTCTCTCTCTCTCTCTCCGCCCTATCGTTTTACATTCTTTCTTTCAAAAAACCAAAGAACAAATAAATAAACTCAATTACAGACTTTGAATAACAAACGCGTAATAAATTTGCAGTGCCAAGTGCCTGAAATAAACGCGTTGCAACGTATCGTGATTTTGTGAAGATCAAAATGTGAAATATATAACTTCGCATTTCGAGTTTCAACATTCCGTTCTTTTAAAAGACTCTCATAAAAACACGATCTCACTATATTTATCTACAACAGTGTACGCGCTGTAATACATATAAAATACAATCAATCATTAATTGATAGCAATCTCCGCGTATTTATTGCACGCAGCAGAGAGAAAAAAAGAAAAAGATATTCAACGAGAAATATTCTCCCGGTTTCAATCCTCGAATGTGGTCCACGAGGCCAGGGGCGGCTGGCAATCGATGGTGCCAGGCTGCGAGCGTGTAAGCATACGTCAGGGGCTCACGGATAACATTAAACAGAGGTGGGTATCCTAGTGCCCGAGTACTCGCACACGAAAGCGGATTCCGTTGCTTGGCGACGGGGAAAAGCGGAGCGCGCCGTCATGTCGGGGATTCGGCGAAGGATGAGGGCGGCCGTAGTACTAGTGTGGGCGACCCTTCCCTCCCTAGAGTAGCGAGAGGAAAAATTCGCGAATTTCAGTCTCGCCCGAGTGACGCGCGATCGCTGAACGAAAATTCGCAAAAATCCGCATCTCGTCCGCAAGAGAATCAATGCTGTCCCCGTGTTGTCTCTCGGGGATACAACGCGCGTTTTAACCCTTACGTAAGCGTTATCACGTATTTCCGAAATAATCCACGAAAACTGGATCCGGAGCAATCTCAACAGATGGCTCAATTGACACGAGAGCGGGAGTCAAATTTCCACATCCGTTCGTCCTTTCCGGCGTTGTCGACCGTACAGGCGCTATTTACCGGTGATCACTGCGACTGAACTGCGGCGTATACACAATTTGCTCCGAACGCTCTCGCTATTTTGTAACTGTAGCTCTCTCGCTATAGAGATGTAAAAGCAGCGTGCAACGAGAGACAAAGTTCAACAACCTCGAAACGTTAATGCGAATGCATTAACGAGGGTAATGTATTCCGTATTCGACCATCCGAGAGAAATTGTTCGCAAACGTCGCTTTCCTGCGCGTGTTTGTACGTACGTGTAGAATGTGCGTGCGTGGCATTCTACGACACGCACACACACACGCGCGCGCGCGCGCGCACACACACACACCGCGAACAAAAATCCAATAACCGAGGCGCCGAATTACTTCTCTTTACGTATTTTCATTCTGATTCTTGACTCGGGTCGATGCTAATGCGCGGTCGCGAAAAACGGAGCGCATTTTAATATCTTGCGGACGCGTGTGAATTAGAACAAATGATAAATCGACAGTATCGCGTCGTCGTCCTGTGCTGATGAACACACAAGTCGAGCACAAAGCATCATTTGGCGCCGGACCAGAGAAAGCGCAGACTATTCCTGTCTGGCGTCTTCGCGGAGTTCCTTCGCGTGACACTCGTTGGACTTCTGCCTGAGATTAACAGCCATGGAGTCACTTCTGGAGAAAAGTAAGTCTCAGGGATGCATGTCGTCTGCGTGCGCACTTGCCGCCCTTTTCTATCTCTCTCTCTCTCTCTTTCTTTCTGGCAGCCTCCAACGAATTTTGCAAGACGCACCGCCGCCGAATGTGACTCAACAACACTGTTAACAAAAACGGATCGTTCGCCAAAAAATATACTTTACTTCCGTCGTTGTCTTCGTGAGGTATTTAATCTTTAGTTTTAGATCCCGCGATGTTTCCATGCTCTTCTCTGGAATTTTTATTTGTTAAAAAAGTCCTTTGTATCTGTAAAATATTGTTTTTACAAATACTGTTTTCTTCCTAAGTTTCCCTAATATATTAAAAATTTAATGTGTCTGTAAAT